CAGCGCAATGATTGTATTTTATTAAATATTTCTTGAGCTCTTTAAGTTGTATTCTAATTTCAAATTTTATATATAATTAAATTTAATACATATATACATATCTGTGTTGAAGAAAAAATATATATAAACGACAATTTGTTTTTATCGTGTTATGTACAACATCATTGGAATTTTTTACATACTACTTTTCATAATCCCCCTCGACTGCAATACACTTGTTGTCTGGAAGCTTTCAGAACGATAGAACAATGTTGTCGGGATTTACAGAAGTTCTTGGTCGCCGAGCGTGAGGTTCATTTTCCACACGATTTCTCCCTTCTTAAAATGAAAATTTTGCTCAATCGCACATTCTTGTCTTGGACCGACATTCATTGTTTAAAGTCTGGTAAAAAGTTTAGAAGGATTGACCCTTTTGTTCGTGAGAAAATTTGATAATTATTCGTTGCGCAACACTATACTTAGCACTGCTCGTTCAGTCATCGTGACAACGTCTCACTGATGACGTCACTGATGAAGACGCGGATTGTTACGGCCTGCAAGGTGAGGCCTGTCTGAACATGTCACAACATGCACGGCAACACAGATTGATTTATTACAGACTGGGAAAATGAACTACATTCCTGTTTATATTTGAACCATCCTCGAATATGAATGAATATATGGAAAAATATATAGATCTAAAAAAATACATATAAAATCGTAGGGTCTAATGAATAAATTATTCTTGGTTTTTCTGCCAACAGGAACGAAAGAAATCGACGGTTCAGCGATGCGGAATGAATACTGCCCCATCACCGGTCTTTATCACTTCAAATACACCATCAACAATAATTCCGCGATCTCGTTGGAGTGCAACACGTTCTCCTCCGAGTTCAATAATTGTCCGGATGGATCGGTCTTACATTTGAAATTCAAACGATGTAATTTCGAGGCGCACGGTGAGTCTTCTTTCCCCAATTTTTTCGTGATTGCATTAACGTTGATATAACAAATACGAAATAAAGTACATATACGTTAACAAGCGTAGTAAATATTTGAGAAGCAATTTATATTTTTGAAGAAATTTATCTTTAAATAATTGAGCAGTAAAATTAACTGCGATCAATTATTTAATAAATTATATAGAGCGAATAAGTATGTATATGTATTCATTTAAATTATCTATTATCAGTTAATAAAACAGTTGATATACCTATTGTTATTAATTGATTTGTAACGAAACGACGATAAAGAAACTGCAGCTTTCTTAGAGATTATTGGAACGCATGATTAATCTCGTTTCAGCAGATCTCACGTACAATTGTTTGGGCAGTTGGTCTGGACCAAATGATTCTAAATATTTTGCGCTCTGGGACAACAACGCCAATGATGGCAGGCCTCAATATAGATGTGGGGTGCGTTACGTAATAAATAATCTCTCATAAAACACCAATGAAATAATTCAATTGCTATCATACACACATTTACATATAACATTATTAATAACAGTTTGTGATAAGTAAAACGCAATTTTCAGCTATATCATACTGATAACAAAAGAGGGAAAACTTACATGGCATTCAGCAGTGACTCGAGCTGCACGCAGAATTTAGATAATTCAACTAATGGATACGAGACTTTGATACTAAGCAAGAGTCTAAATCAGAAAAAAGTACCGGAATACGTCAAGACTCATGTTGCCACGTGAGTACGCTGATTTTTACGATCGTTTAATCTTTAATCTATCGTCAGACAATTTCATTCTTGCAGCTATTGGATAAAAATGTTTTTTTTTTTTTTTTAATTAATATTTGTAAAATACTTGCAATAATATCGATATGTTTCTAATAATATTGTTAGATTCCCGAAGTGGGCGCAGGGGGTGTGGGAGGAGTCCCTGATAGTTAATGGAACTATGACTTTCACCGATATCAATGGCTACAATAGTTATACCTTCATCACGGTGGAGTCAAACGAGGAGACTGGCCGTTATATCGTGTACTCCAAAGATCAATGGTGAGCAATTAATTTGATCGCGCAGTTTATAACGAATACATTTTATTGAAAGAAAGTTGAGAAATATAAGACTAAAAAAATAAGCTTATTCCTACAGTTTATATAACGTTCTTGTGTCTTAAAATATTATTTTTTTGATAGTGAAAGTGAAATGAGCATTTACTTTTAATTTCAGTGAGCATGCTGGTTTTGTGTGCTTAATGATGAGGCAGCGCAGCGAAAATGTACTGGAGTTTACGTTAGGTAATTCCTATATCAACTATACCGTATAATTTTTCATTACATAGCGACTTTATTATTGTTAACGCTTCATCAAGAACTTAATTTAATATTTAAAGAGTCTTCAAGAATAAAAATGTCTGGTTAAATAAAATCGAAGTAGTGTAAAATTTATAAATAAATAGAAAGAGTAATCAAAATAATAATAATAACCTGAAACTTGAGTTTGAATATATAAAAAATCTTTATTGTTTCCTGTTCTTCATTAATCTCTGTCCATTTTTATTGCATTTCGGTTTTTACGGCTCTTCAGTATAGTCGCGCAATAATAGAAATAATATCACACGCAGGGAGGATCTTGAAAGCAGGTTATCAGGACGAATTGTGTGACGATCCCAATGTCGATAGACCGGTGTGGATGACTCAAGCACGTAAGTTGAAATATATGCTTTACAGCACTTTCATAAGTCGTCCGTGCATCTTCATAAGCGTTTTATCTTTCTAGATAAGACTCTATCCTTAATAATGAATTACTTTTAAAACGCACCCAGTTATTTGATATTTTAATCATATTTAAGGTGTCGAACGTGTTGTGGAGTCGCCCTGTCCAATTACGGGCCGATACATAGGAATGATAACGGATCTGTCGGGGATGTGTGCCGAATTGAGCAGCAACTGTAACACTCGCGAAATAATGTATTTTAAAGTGAGCGATTGCGAATCCGGGGAGCTGTACGAAGGTATGCATACAATTATAAAAAAATAAAAAGAAAATAGAAAAAAAAATACTATTAAAAAAAAAAATAAAAAATAGTGCAATTATAAATTGCTCGAAAAATATAATTACGCAATTTGACGTAGTTACATTTTTTTTTAAGATTACGATGTTATTTAATTTGGCTACTTTTAGTCAATTTTGATCTAAATTTTAGTAATTAAATAAATTATATTTCAAGGAATTTAATTAGAAAATTTATATGTTTACTTACATATTGTTATCATTATTTGTATAAAATGTTTATTTTTCTGCAAAACGCTTTTATTCGCTATTTTTAGAACGGACATATCTATGCTTGGGACAATGGGAAGAGAAAGGCGTGATGTATACCTATACTATGAGAAATGACACTGCTACGAATGAGTGCTTCGTGGGCTTGATCGTTAACGACGAGGAGATATATATCAAGGAAGCCGGCGACCATTGCATACGAAATATAGATCCTAAAACGCAAGGGATGCGTCTTTACAAAAAGGGTAAGCGCTCTTACGAAAGCATTCTTAGGAGGCGCACTTATTGATGCATTCATATTTCTAACGTGAACTATTCTGCACTTTTACATTATGACGATGTTATTTAAGGACAATGTTACGGGAATTCACCGAGTCCTGCGCCAACTCCGATGAGACCGACTCCTCACAATCCAGTAATGAGGATTACGACCCCACGATCAAGACTATCGGGTAAGATAATCAGATAAATAAACGAAGTTAAATGAATTTTATAATCTATTATCCAATTTATGATTTTCCCAAATCAAGAATTAGAATAATTTTTTTATATGAATCTATAATTCTTTTAGCTAATTATTATAATTGTATCCTATCGGCAATTATTTCCTTATGATTTATCGAACTTAAAATTAATTAAATATTAAACAATGGCTGAATTAGATAATTCTCTCTTTTTCACAGGAAATACTCGAGTACCAGGAAATACAGTTTCTTCGTCAGCTCGCTGCAGATCGACAACGTCCACGACTTTTATGCTTCTCGTCGCTGTGATCATGGCGTTTCTCAAAGCAGCTTCCTCGTACACGCACGAATAATGAAACAGTTTTACAAACTTAATAGTGAGCTAGCTAACGAATGATACCTTAGTGTACACATTGCTGCATTTTTGTTATCCTTGTCTAACAGACAATCGAGACGTAAGTAAGCCAGTTATTTATTGCGAAGATCGACGTGAAATGATATTGTAGGGACATGTGTGTATATCGTATTTTTTATCTCGCGCATCACTCCGCCCACACCGCGTTTTGCGAGATTTTACTTTTTTTCGTAGAATAAACATAAAGTCAAAAACTTTGATCTGCTCCATCGTGCGAGCATTGATGAACGCGCACAGGGATTTTTACAAAAAGAGAAAATTTTATGACAGATATTTTTTATCAATATTTAAGACGTAGCGGTACATAAAGTATTTAGAGCTGTAATTATACCGTGAACTCTTCGCCGACGATGAAGTTGTGATTGATCCCTATTGCAAATTATTACTATTTATTTAACTGATTCCAATAGAATGACATAGGCCACAAGTTAGATTGCAATAATCGTGTTTGGGCCCTGCCTTGTAAGATACAGACATTTCCCCATTTTGTGATTGTTCACAAAACAACCCAAAGAGCCGCTGTCTGCGTTAAACTTTTTTACGAATTTTATTAATAAATAATTTTTTTACGAAACGAACACATCACGGGAATATCGAAACGCGACATAGAAATATAAAACGTAATTTTTTAATAATTTTGTGATAGTAAATTTAATTTACACTTTAAACACTGCACAGATAAAATTTTACAATATATCAAATTTTTTTTCTAAATCAAACAAGATTTATCAGACGTCTCTTATGCTATTTAGAGTAGTCAAAACGGTAATATCTTTTCTATGCTAATATAAATAAAATGTCTCTTAATGTCCATAGAGCAGAAACGCGCCATAATAAAAGAAAATAGCTTGACGTAGAAAGATGACATAAATTATACAGTTGTATAAGACTGACACAAAGCTACTATTTTAATATGTATGGTTCAATTTCTAGTTTTCTTTCCCCTCCATTAGAGATAAATGATTCTACCAGATGTACATTCTTATTCAATACGAAGGGAAGTATGTTTTCGCGAACAACACATATCAGTAATATAGAAAAAGGAAATAAAAAATTAAATAAAACTCTGTGTAAAAGTGCTGAGAAAATATAGTAACGTGAGCGAAAGTGTTGCTTCTGCTTACAGAGATAAAATGTATTTTAGCATGTTTATATATAACAAAGAGAAAACTCTCCCACGTGAAAGTAGATATTAATATTCAGACAACGTTTTATGAAAACGTAATAACATAGGGTTATTACGTTTTTAATTAAAGAACCAGCTTGTACAAAAAAACAATTTTATAAAAAAAATTACTTTTTAATTGCAGCATCGTTTAACACAGATCAAATTTAATATCACACAAAAATTTAATATTTATCACAATCATGTAAAAAATTGATATGAAATTGATATCTGTATTATGGTTCTAACTTGTTCTCGCATTTAGACTAATACGAAAAGTGGAAATAAGTGTATATACATGTGTAAACTCGTCAATTATTTATTAGTGTATAATATTGATAGTGAAGCAAATTTTAACGAAATATACATATATATATAATATTATATTATATTAATATTAATTATATATACATCAATATATATAATACTATAATATTCTATACTAATATTAATTATATATATGTATATTTATATTACACTTATACTTAACTATTTGTACAGAAAATTATATAATTAGTGATCTTGACATTTTATCTTTTATCGCTAAAAGTTTGGTTTTACGTCTTCAGTATGTGTTTCTCGGTATTTAATTTGTGTTTAATATCTGTAACTAATAGCGGAGAAATTTACTTTGTAATTCCGATTGAAGGTGTATAGTTGTATAAAAGAACCAAATAAGCAATAATAAGATATGTGTGAGGTGTGCGTTACGAAATCCGGATGTCTAGGATAATATTTAAGGCTAAACTACAGGAACTTTTAGGAGCGAGCGTAAATCGTTGTATTCGAGCAATACAATTCGAGATATCAGAAGCTATACGTAAAAATATTAATTTCCATGAAAATGTGTATAATAAAGAACTTAATTTCTATTGTTATTTATACCTGCATTTACGGATGAAAGTACTCAATTTAACAAGATTATAACAAGCTGACGAGCCACGAGAAAACATGATGTAAATATATAAATATAAGTGACAATAACTGACATTTTAAAGAAATATTTCGAATCAAGTGAGACATCTCCAGGATGCGTGATCACTGTATTTTATTATACTAACAAAGGGAATTTTGTACTTTTACAAGATCCAATGTACGTGAGAAAAATAAACATTTATCACCTTTAAACGCACTTAATAATTAACCCAACACCTATGATGAATAAATGCTTATATAATATATTATAATGTTTACTTACATTCTAGGAATACTTAACACAGAGAGAATAAAAGAAAATAAAATGTGACACAACGATAAATCACAAAAGCGAGATTCAGACAGAAGTCGAGCGTTAATAAATTTGACATAGATAGTAAAAGATTATAAGTGCAAAAATAAAAAAAAAAGCTTGAGAGAGGAATACAAAAATATAATAGTTATGATAAGTATCAAATTTGTAATATCTGTTAGTGTATAAAAATAATTATGAACAAATGTCAAACATTTTATTACATTAAAGATTAAAGTTATACTCTAGAGATTTATTGGAAGCATTAATTTAGGCAGAGACCTGCTTTTCGTATTCCAGGATAGCATGTTTCCGTTCCAATCCCCAAGCATACTTGGTGCCACGGGCATTTGCGCGCTTCGCTGTCACACGGTGGCACGGCACAACGTAGGCGACGTAATTCTTGGAAATTGCGCTTCCCACCGCTATCGCGGCCTTGCAGTCCGTCATCCGGGCGACTTCCTCGTACGTGGTGACCGACCCTCCGGGGATTTCCGTCAAAGATCGCCAAACTTTAATTTGGAACTCCGTGCCCTTCATGAGGACGCGAACCGAGCGAAGCTGGGAACCGTCGGGATGAAAGATTCTCACGACGACAGTCTCCGTCTTGTTTCCGATATCCTCCGATATCTTCGTCAACGGCCACTTCGCCTTCAGATCTCCGATAGCTTTCGTCTCGTCGTCGTCGTCGTCAACGAACGTCAGATACGCCACATCTCCGTCGGTGTCGGTCACGGCGACGAGACACTTGCCGAATGGTGTCCGACGGAACGCGTATAGCAGCTGGAACGTCATGCAATTGCTCTTGTACTCGTCCACCGTCATGCCTCGAAATACAACCATGATTACGAGACGATTGAAGAATCTTGAACGCAGATGTAATCAGACAGAGCAACGTCCAAAATGAGACGAACAATGAGCAGTGAAGAGACGTTGATTGATGCCGGTCCTCGATAGCTAACGTCTTCCATCAGCTGACTATCTAGCCACCACGTGGTACAATGAAAGAAGGGGTATTATGGCACCAGGCACATGCGCAGAGTCGTTTATTTAACAGCTTCACATATATAATCACATACAAAGTCTAATAAATCCTATAAACCTTCTCACGTGTCCTTCGATTAATCTTTAACGAAACATCGCAGAGCTTTCAAGTTATAAAAATTAACGTTTTTTATATTAAACTTCAGAGAGGCATTTAGAAAAAAATTAGACTGACTGATGGTAGTAACCAAACGGAACCGGCCTCTTCGTGAGCAATACATCCTATTTATAAGATTATAAAGTGACAGATTATATCGGCTCTATATTGGCAAAAAATATGAGCTTGATACGGCCGCAGTTGATGCCAATCTGTCGCAATATTTGACTCTGGTGATAAACCTGTGCTTGCGTATTGTTGGCATTTTGTTTACGGAATAGTACACCAATATATTAAATGAACACTTTGATAGATTAATTCTAACTTTAGTCGCTAAATTCTAAAATAGAAAACTTACGAAGTTGATATTGAAAACGCGTGTAAAAAGCCTTGTGTCCAAGATGCTAGAAATCGCACCGAGATCCCAAATCTCGAAAGAATTTACCAATCGCATTTAAACAATTCGGATAATTGATCAATGCCATTGGTTGATTCCTTCTCCGTCCGAGATCTCGGAGCGATTTTTAGCATCGTGGACAAGGCCTAACAAATGATGGAATAGGCTGCAAATTCATAAAAAAAATTTGGCTCGTTAAACTTGCGACATTTTGTACATATTATCGATTGTTATGAATGTAACTAAAAATTAAGAATTATATAATAATAGTTAGTTAAGATATCAATTAACAATTTTTGTCTATATAAATGTAGAAACGTGACAAATTTCAGTTCCATTTCAACCATACAGTCACAACATTAATGCAGTTATTCATAACTATGATTCTAAGGTATTACTCCAAAGAGTATCAAATACAACATTCTTTGGCACTTTCATGATACACTTTTCATTGGAAGCAATGTATTTGAACTATCAGGCTTAGTCTAGGTATTTACAAAATGTACAAAAGTTATAAAAAAATGCTCCTGATGCCAAGTACGTAAAAAAACTTAAAAAATATTCCTTATTTAACGATAAATCGTTTAATGATGGCAGGTGTCGCATTGGGATCGATATGGCATAAAATTCCACGATCTCGTGCATCATTTAACAACGCCTTCCACATTTGATCCCTCTGCAAAACAAAGATTTGCTGGTCAATTTAAGCTGGGGAGATACAAGGAATAACAAGAAATTTTCAGAATTTAACTTTAGGATTATCCTCCGCTTACCTTGAAGGTATTAAAGTTTCCGCACAATATCAGACTGTGTTTAGCTCTAGTGAGAGCTACACAGAGTCTTTGCTTGTCCGACAAAAATCCAATACCGTTGCTTCTCACGCAGGACATTATTATAACATCTCGCTCTTGACCCTGGAAACCGTCGACTGTATTAACTTCAAAGCTAATTTTCTTCCTTAAGTTACCCGGTACAGAAGATATCCTGAAAACCACACGAATCATAAGTTTACAATTTCTTCATAGCTTCATATGCAAACTATTGTTATCGCACATACGTGCATGAAACTTTACTTTTCGTTTATTTTATTCAGCACAAGAGCCCTTTGATTGTTGTACGGCGTGAGAACTCCAAGAGAAATGGTATCGGTTGTTGTTTCCCACTTGCCAAACATTAACATGGTATAAATTATATTGGCCACGAATTCCGCCTCGGTGGTGTTGGAAAACTTGTCGTCGTTCTGTATGAAATCATGATACAACACTCTATAGGAATGAAATGGGAACTTCATCTTACATTCGGCGGCGTTTTTCAATTTTCCACCATAGAAGTATCTATTCGGCCAATACGAGATCGCATAATCCATGCGATATTGCGTGTCCAGCATTATAATTGGACTGTTCGGTTGAGACTCGAAGACTTTCTGCATCCTCGAAAATAATGATTGATCTAGTCCCAACTTCTTCGCTCGCTGACTTAGAATAGTTGCGGGCAGTTGATTCGGATCGCCCACCAGGACCAACGTATTCACTCCCAACATCAACGGTATCAGAGTTTCTGCTTCGCAGCTCTGCGTCGCCTCGTCGACGATGCACACGGATATCCTTTCTTTGTGACCACCGAAGATCGACTCCATTTGATTAGTGTAACAGGACGAAAGCGTACAGGCAATTACATTGGCACCCGTAATAATTACGTTTTCCGACATACGCTTGTATTTGGCACGATCCTTCGGATCGAGCTGTTCTACTGATTTACCAGATTTCAGCAGTTCGCATGTCGTCGACGTTTCAAATAGTTTGTTCATGAGTGAATTCCTCTTCGTTTCTTCCGTTTTGTCAATGCTCTCAAGTTGAGTTTTAAGCGAATTGATACGCGCCTGTAAAATCGCTATATCTTCGGTGTTAGCCGAGCCTCCATTCAACATTGATTTCGACGTCTTGGTCATTTGCTGGAGGTATCGTTTCGCCAGTTCTGTCACGGAAATGTTTTTAACCTTTGGATGCATAGACTCCGGTCGACCAATACGTACCATATTGAAACGTTTTTGTTTCAAAATAGACCTGACATTCAGAAGTCTCAACACGATCTCATCGATAGCGGCGTTGGACGGTGCGCAAATCAGGATTCTCAAAGATTTCTTGTCTTGCTGCTGACCGAATAGTATTTGAGACACCAGATTAACGATAACTTTGGACTTGCCCGTCCCCGGGGGGCCCTGAATGAAGCACAGTTTAGCCTCTTTCTTTATCACAACGTTCGTCACTTTAAATACAGCCTCCAATTGCCTCGGATTCAAATCATCTTTTGTGACCAGCGAAGAAGATGTGTACTGTTCATTTAACGGCGACAATTGATAGTTCTCGACTTTTGGACTGACAATCAATTTCAACAGGGGCGAGTGAGGAAGGTATTGCAATGCCTGCACCATTCTGATATTCGCTCGTAGATACATGACCGTGCGGACTCTTTGCACCCTATTTACAGGGATACTGTGTTCGAGAGGCCGCGTTAGCAAGGTGTATGTTATCACAGCATACGGATTTTTAACATGTTTCCTTAAATCCCTATTATAATGAGTGAAGTCTGTGATAATCACGTGTTGCATGTTGGTGACGTATCCGTATATCTTGTGAAAGATTTGCTTATCGTGTACATTCGTGACATACTCAAGATACACTAGATCTCCGTAAATAGGATGAGTTTGTTTATTCAGATCGTCTTTATTGATCAGCACCTCGAGCATCAGTGTCGTCAGGAATAAATTGGTCGACGGTATCGGCGTACGCGTAATAGAATTTTCGACTATGGAACACATCATAGTGGGACGTTGCCTATTCTTCTGGATCGTTTCGAATTCCTTGGTCATGACGCACCACATCTCGAGTAACAGGAGAGGCATCGCGACTTCGTAATACTGTTTATAGGAATCGTAGAACAATTTCATAGTATGAAGTTCATTCTCCGGCACTATTGGCGGTTCGCACTTCAAATAGCGCTGCTCTTCGAGCCACACGGGATTCCACTTAAAAATGTGCAGTAGGAACTCCTCCAGTTTCGGGGTCCAATCCGCATAGGTGCCCTTGGATGCCCTTGTTAATTTATTCACGGGTATAGGCGCATCTTTCCCTTCCAATTTTTTTAAAGTATTGCGACGATCGATTTCGTACACCTTTATTTCGAATTTATCAGAAAAGGACACTCTCTTCTTTTTCGTCGATTTCGTGCTCGATTTCACGAGCTTCGATTTCAAATTGCTCGGTGAAACAATTTCTTTTTGAACCGCGGAACCGCGGTGGGTCAACCGATCTCGCGATTCTGACATTTTGGCAGTGGAATCAGCATTCCCGCTGTTTCTTTTCGAGCTACTCCTGCTGCTACTGCGACGTTTCTTTTTATTGTCATTGATCGCCAGTGTGTTCTCCTCAGATGCAGTGCTCATATTATCTAAATGTAATGATTGTTGCAATGATGTAGCAATATTGTTGACTGTATCCTTGGAGACGTCTGTTTTCTGATGCGATTTCTGTGTTTTCTTGTCGGAAGTCGCGGATTCTTTTACAACATCAGTTTTATTCGTTGATCGCTTCTTAAATTGATCGTCACTCGATTTTGGCAATTTTGTGGATTTATTTGGAAGCGATTTAGATACTCGCGGTTCTTGCTCAGCGATGAGAAAGTCGCCACGATTTTTCAAAGATATTTTAGCTCTCGGTTTAGCAATCCTACGACTACTACCTTCATCGTTTTCGGCGACCAGCTTCTCCTTTTCCGCAATCTTCTTCAATTTTATTTTTCTGTCCTCGATTATTTTCCTTTTTTCGTCCTTAGAAATTGATGGCCCAGATTTTGTTTCACTTGGCGAGTGACTGTCAGCTGTTGATTTAGATCTCTCTTTTTGGCACTTTTGTTCCTTACTATAGAAATTATCGTTAAGTGTTTCTTTTAATTTCGACATCGTCTTTTCTTTTGTTGTTGATCTCGAGTGTGAAGTTTCATGTTCTTTTGTTACTTTGTTTTTGCTACGATCAGTATGTCTTCTTCTTGGAGGTAAATTTAATGGTTCTATTACTGGAATCAGTTTTCTCGATGAGTTTTCTCGATTTGCAATCAATTTTTGTTTCAGGTTTTCTATTGTTTGCTTATTTCGCTCTATATTTTGTTTCACATCTGTTTTCTGTTTATTTTTATCATTAATATTGATATCAACAACTTGTTTGCTTATGTTATCGATATTGATATCACCAACCTGTTTGCTTTTGTCATTAATATTGATATCAACAATCTGTTTACTTTTGTCATTAATATTGATATCAACAATCTGTTCGCCTTTATCAATATCTTTCATACTAGGCTCGTTAAAAGGACCGATTTCGTCCACATCCATCCCGTTCATTTCTATCGTCGGCAAATTAGTATTAATATCAGTGTTAACAATCTGTTTGCTTTGATCAACATCTTTCGAACTAGGTTCATTAGAAGGACCAACTTCGTCTATATCCATTGCGTTCACTTCTGTCGTCGGTAAATTAGTATTATAATCATCCTTCTTGTTTTTAGTTGTAACATCGACGCCTGCACGTGGTTTATGAGATATTTCTTTACTGCAAGGAACGTGGGAAGTACTCGGTATCTCGGACGGTTCAAACATACTCAGAATTTCATCATCCCAAATTCCCAAATCGATCTCATCCTTTACGATCGCATCACACGAAACAGGTTTATCCTCGTTAAGTAACTGACTTCTGGATAATCGTTCCAACCATGGATTATCCTCATCTTCGTTGTCTGTTAAAATAATAACCTCGTCGTCCACATTTAACAAGCCAATTTTCTCGGTATTTAGGTCATCATCGCTGGCACATTCCTGTTTAATCTCCATTTTATTCTCTGTATTATCTTCGTATTTGATATCGAACAACTGGGACCACGGAAACATTCCTTCTTCATCGTCACTCAGATCAACAACATCGATAATAGAGAATCGCGTTTTTTGCTCATGTTTTTTTTTCTTCAATTTAATCGGTGATTTGTCGTGGATTTTATCGCCCCCAACAGTTATCCTGCATGCTTCTTCATCGTCCGTTATTTGCAGTTCATTTTCATATTTAATAATTTGGTCACCCGTATGTACAAAATTCTCTGTAAAGAGTAACGCATCATCTTGTTTATCAATGCTATTCGATGTTTTTCTTGTACAACTTTTGCTTCTATCTCTGATATTAACATCACCGTTAGTCTCACTGTTAGTCTCAATACAAGAAACATTCATTCTCTCATCAAAGTCCGATTTATTCCTGACATCTGAACATTTTGCAGATTTATGATTATGATCCACACTGTTCTTCTTCAGTAACGCATCATCTTGTTTATCAATGCTATTCGATGTTTTTCTTGTACAACTTTTGCTTCTATCTCTGTTATTAACATCACCGTCACTTTTAATCTCAATACTAGAAACATTCATTCTCTCATCAAAGTCCGATTTATTTCTGACATCTGAACATTTTGCAGATTTATGATTATGATCCACACTGTTCTTCTTCTCTACGTCTTTTGCTAGAGATGTATGAATTATTTGTATGTCATCTTCTGCGTTTATATCTATAGTATTATGTCTAGTTTTTACTAAATTATTAATACTGTTGTTATTGTGGGAATTCTGATTATGATGAGATAAATTAGAATTAATTCCTGCAACAAAAATTAAAAGGATTATTAAAACACGAGATTTATTAGAATAGTGCAAGTTTAGTACCTTTTCCTCTCGTCTATTGCTCGGAAAATATTGCAATTACCTTTTGAAGGACTAATACTAGAGTCATGTTTATCATCATATGTAATTTTTGATATTTTATTAGGCACTGTCATGTCACAATTTAAATTAGGTATACATCTTTTTCTCAAAGCATGATCTACAGGAAAGGCAGAAGATTCACTACTTTGTAATGTATTAGTAATAGTTAAAATTGTCGTCGAAAAGGTAGTTTCCTCTTCTTCTTCTTCCTCATCAAGGATGGATGGCTAAAAAAATTTTACGAATAAAGATTTAATGACAAATATTCTACAAGAACCATTAGATACCGCTCTGAAAACATCTTACCCTAATGAGGCAAACTTTATAAATATACTGTGTCTCATTGTCTGGATTAGTATTTGGGCAGCCTAATCCAATGATATCATTCTCATGTAATTTGATCATATTAGAAGAAGCTCTTATCTTGCCATTGACATAGGTCCCATTTGAACTCTAAATAAAAATCAGAAATTATTATAATGCAATTTATAAGTGTCAGTATTAATATGGCTACTTCTTATACATACCTTTAAGTCTGAAACGTATGAATTCTCACTATCTCGAAAAAAAATACAATGTCTACGAGATACAGCCACATTAGGGCAGATAATATCATTTTCCTTGCCTCTACCACAGGTGTACTGGGAAAAAAAAAAACAGAATTTAAATGTAGCATATATATATATACACACAATATGAGAAAATTATCAAGCTTATTTAAGAAAAATCTTTTATATTTCAAATGTAATAGCAAGTTTCAGTAGTATTTGTATCTAATTCCCTATCTTAATAAATTAATAAATATGTAGCAAACAGATAAGCTACCAACATAATGTGTTGCTCTACGTATCCAGAATAAATTTCTTTTATATTATTTCTCTGTTATTTATATATTACTTCATGTTGCGATATCAGCTGCATTCGGGGAGCGTGCTATTAGTGTTATTTGCTTATTTTATCTTCGTTTTACACCTGATGAGCGATAAAGATAGAATGATACAATAGTGCGCTCCCCGAACACAGCCATCATCCTACTTTTATTTTCCAAGATTATGGAAAATAAATGTAGCTTATATAGAAGGAAAAAATTCCCTTAGGAATCAATTACTGTCTGAAAGCATTTTCGATAAAACCTCTATATACTTTCTGAATAGAAAAGTTTCAAGTTAAAAGAAATTGGATAACAAGAGTTAACCCTCAAAGGACTCCGTCGGGTCGTTTTCGTCCACCCGAAAAATACGATCCTGAATATCTTTTTTTATATTTTTTTGAGCCTGAAACTCATTTTTATATTTATTATGAATTTTTAAAAAAAATCACTTTTTCAATTTCTTTATGCTAATAACTAAAAAAAAAAACTATTAAAGAAAAAAAATTTTTAGAAACCAAGATCACAGCTTAAAAGCGGAAAGTTCAAAGAATGTCCATGAATTTTGAGGAATTTTTTGAATGATATTTAATATTATTTACAAGTCGAAAGGCAAAAAGGACCCGACGGAGTACTTCTAAGGTGCCAAAAAGCACGGAGTCTTTTGAGGGTTAACATAAAATACACATTGCATCGCGATAACAGTAATTTTAACAATTACTTCAACGTTAAGTCCTAAAACCGTTCTCTTATCTGGTTGCATTGGCTTAGAATCACAGATAACTCCGATAACAAAACCGGCGATTAACTCAACAATGTCAAGCATCACTTACAAGATTTCCAATCACAAATTATGTCGGTCGTAATCTCACTTTTCGCGCGTACAACAAGAGATTAAGTGCATCCGTGATAAGGAAGCGCGCAACTATCTGATTAATCGTCAGTCAAGTTAATCGAAGTTTAGCTGTTCAACGTAAATAAGGAGGGTTACTTACAGATCGATTGCGCTCAAGGACGATGCGGGTGTTGTCCCAATCGTGCACTCGCTCCAGAGCGATATCCATCTCTGCGAGAGATTCGGATGCAAGGAGAGCTGATTTTCCCTCGTTTTTTTTTTCCTAAATTTTTTTCGCACGCAGCACTCACAAGCTCATGTTAATAACCTCGCAGGCGCAGATTCGCAACGGCACGGCATACGGCATGTCTCGTGCGCGTTCTCTCGTCCCCCATCACGGAGACTCGACGAAGATGGGAAGGGCACCGTCAGGTGTTCTCGCGACGCGCGACACAGTATTCGAATGAAAAATTTCACTTTTAGCAGGCACAACTTTCACTGACCGCCTTTGTTTACATGTATCAAAACGGCGTATAGCGGTTACAGCCACGAGCCACGGCGTCCTGTCGTTCCAGCTGAATGGTCCGGTCTCTCGCGCATGCGCAGCCCGTACGGTGACGCGGGTGACGTACCGTAGCACGCACGCGGAACACCACGGCGCGAAATTCTTAGCGAATCTCGACGATCGAGCGGCTGAGAATGTCGAGAATGAGTCAAACGAGTAAAGCGAGGCAATAAATATCGCTATTAGTAGATTAATTGTTGCGAACGCAGAAGAGAAAAATAAAAGTTCTCAGATATATACTCTTGGAAGAAATTTTTATTTGGGGCCCCGCACAATCTCTATTTTTTTCTCGAACTAAATCTACCGCACTGAGATCAAAGACGCCGCGTGCGCGTGAAAGGGTCGGGGTCGGGGCCAAGGACGAGCTGGGCGAGAAACGTTACCATTATCCCACTATATAGTCTACATTTTCGGCCGAATATCTCGTTGCAGAAAATATGAAACCGATAACAGAGCTATAAATTAGATAAAATAATCATTCGCTATGTTACAGATGTGACTCTCGTTCGATAGCATGATTTTCATGCTTAAATATTATACTATGGATGAAATAAATCACACACGTGAAATATGATGTATCATCGTATCCTATAACAATACGTTATAGTTACGCGTTCAGCAGAAAAAGCAGCTGGGTAAGCGCTTTATGTGATAAGTGATTCTTTAATATGAATCATATTCTTGCCTTTAGTTTATCGTTGGATTTAAATGTAAGAGCAATTAAAGCGTTAACTCGCGCGTGCGAGTGGGAAGGGAGAGGGTGGATGAGAGACCACTCTAACACCGAAACATTGAAGTAACACAATTTTATTTGAACAATGAAAAATAATAACAGAATTAAAGAGCGACGCAATTAATTTAGAAACACATCTGAACTTTAACCGAAACTGAAAACGCGGGCGTCTTAAGGGCCCATCACAGTTTCACAAGTGTCGGTTAAGGTTAACTTTTAACCTTAGATTAACTTCACTCTTCATCTCTTTCTAAGGGGGATGTTAGAAAAAGACGAAGAGTGAGTTAATCTCTAAGGCCCAGTTTCACAAGTGTCGGTTAACTTTTAATCTTAGATTAACTTACTCTTCGTTTCCTTCTAACGTCCCCCTTAGAAAAAGACGAAGAGTGAGTTAATCTAAGATTAAAAGTTAACCGACACTTGTGAAACTGGCCCTAAAGGTTAAAAGTTAACCGACACTTGTAAAACTCTGGGCCTGAATGAATTAAATCACGCTGTCGACACTCTCTCGCTCGCCGTGTCAAACTACCCGCGCCCGAACTGATTATTACCGAGCAATCGACGATGAACAGATTCACTCTTGACAAACTAATGGCAAATGACAACGCGCCGTAAGTTCCGTGAGTTTTTATACTCGCATGAGACAAAGAACACGCCAGGGATGACGAGCCCTTAGCAACGGTAGATGAAATAATAGACCAAGACTTCGCGGAATAAAATGACGAAAGATGCAGGTGGCCCGCTGTTATCTCTGTTTAGAAAAGTGATAGCCGAAGAGACCGTGCCGGTGAATTACATATATATAGAGCGGCTCGACACAGTTGCAGTGTAATAATAATGTATCATCAAAACGTGAACGCGAAACTGATATGCCATTGCAGTCTTGATAAATATATCGTGTTACATCTCACGCTATGACGAATAGTATTCTCGAAAAATTAAGAGTAATAATATTCTGGAATATTATCACATACGTGATTGCTGAATCTAAATATCTGTTATTTTTTTGCGTAAATGGATAAAATAGGGATTAATTGCATTGCTTTTTCATGTGTCAGACAACACTTAATAATTCTATGTTATGAAATACAGCAGATATTGTCTGATAAGGTATAATGCCTGATTAAATTATTAGTCGGAGTTTGATTGAAGTTATCCTTAAACAGCAGGAAAATTATATCAATTTTATTCTTTGCAATCATTAAGAATGGATGATAGCTAAAAAAATTCAATGAATAAAGATTTAATGATAAATATTAAATTTCTAATATAAGGACCATTGATTTTCTGCTCTGAAGATGTCTTACTCTCATGATGCTCTGAAAACGTCTTACTCTCCTGAAGAGAGAGGGATCCCTAGAAGGGATCTTATTCTCATGATGCAAACTTTATAAATATACTATGTCTCATTATTTGGATCAGTATTTGAACAGCCAATCCAATGATATCATACTCATGTAATTTGATCATTTTAGTAGAAGCTGTTATCAACGTGCCATTTGAACTCTAGATAAAAATCAAAAGTTATTATTCAACTTACAAATACCTACGTACCTATTGATATGATCACTTCTTATAGATACCCTAAGTCTAAGACATATGAATTCTCACTATTTCGAAAAAAATACAATGTCTACGAGATACAACTAAGTAATTAATATCATTTTCCTTGCCTCTACCACAGGTGTATTAAAAAAAATATAAAATATACGTCTTTATTTCAACTATACGCCAAGAAAGGACTTGGTTTACAATTCTTACTTAAAACACACATCCATCCACACATCATCCATCTTTCTTCTTTACATACCCGCCGCGATACATTGTTATTTACAACCGCTCTAAAGCTGTTTCCATTACTGTCCCTACTCACGCTCCTTCCTAACTTATCTCTTTCTTTTTTTTCTTTTCCTTTATCCTATATTTTTTATAGGATTCCTCTCTCCTTTTCCATAATCTATTTAACACCTTTCCCTTTTCTATTCTAAATTTATCATCGCATATGTTCATTAATATTTCTTTGTTATTCCTACCTAGATTCTCAAACCACATACTTGTGATATTGCACTCGCTTATATAATGCTCTAAGTCTTGCAGAATCTACACTTTGTATCTTCTTCGTCCAGCCAATATTTATTTGTGTCCTCTAAATTGCTGCACCTTAATTACTATTAAAAAAATATATATATGTATATATATATATATATATATATATATATATATATATAATTTAAACGTAGCATATACAATCTGAGAAAATTATTAAAATTCAAGAAGTCTTCTATAGGATTTCTATAATTAAAATATAGTGGTAAGCATTTTAATTGTATTTGTATTTAAAAGATTCACATCACGTTGAGTTCGCCTGTTATTTTCTTTGCGTTGTCATTAAGTCTGTTCTCGTTACTTGAACCTCTTCCACAGTTCATCTTTTCTCTTTTTCTCTCCAACGTGAAAAGAAAAAGATAAAATATGAATCGTGCAAGAAGTTCAGGTAAAAAGAACAGGCCTATGTACCCCCGCAGGCTTAGGGTAATATTTCATTTGCCGTATGACAAATTTTTTAAACATATTGATTGGCTATAAGATAGAGGATTTCTAGAAACTCGAGAACTTCTCTATTTTGTAGCCAATTAACGTACTTAAAAAATTTGTCGTACGACATATGAAATATCAGCCTTACTCTCCGTCTATTGATCAATATTCATAATCCGTACTTGTTTCAAGATCGTCTTAGGTAATGTCTTAAGATGCTAATACGGCTCTGTGATTGGTTCATAACATCTTAAGATTATACTAAAAACGGTCTTAAATATAAGCTTCGACTAAAATAATCATTCCCCATGTTAGATATTATTCTTAACGGCGTATATTTTGATGATGCTTAAATTGTTATGGATAAAAAAAACTCATGTGACAATAAGATGATGTATTCTATGACAGTGCTGCGTTTAATAAAAAAAGCAGCTTTTACTAAATGCTTTGTGATTGTTTAATATGATTCAGATAATTGCTGGAATTAAATACCTGTTATTTTGTTGTGAATGGATAGAAGGGAGATTAATTACATCGCTTTTTATGTATCAGACAAAACGTTAATAATTCTGTCTATGTTAACGAAATACAACAATACAGCAGATATTATCTGATAAGTTATAATATATCGTTGAATAAATTAAAAGTTGGAGTTTGATCGACAACAGAAAAGCTATATCAATTTCTTAAACTTTTTACTAGAAATTCGGCATTCGGCCAGACCTTTGCTATAAATTATTTTTATTAAAAAGTAAAAATTAAAATTATAGCTAGAATAATTCTTATTGTGTGGAATTATATAAATATATTATGCTTGAAATATCAGGAATCAGAGATTCAAGAGATTTTACATTTTTTCTTAGCTGCCTTTACTTTAAGTCTTCTAATTAACAGTAATAATTAATTTAATTCTTTATGAAATGTTAGAATAAATTAGGATAAATTTTTATATGATAGTAAATTTTTTTCTGTTTTAAGAACAACAGAAACATTAAAAACTTAATTATATATCGATATTTTATTTAGAAGAAGATATATTGGAAAAATAATTTGTTTTTCAATTAAATTTAAACAATTTTGTGTCTTCTAAATTTCTTCTTTCTATTTGACATTTTGTCTTTATAATTGTTTCCATTTATTGTTACAAATTTTTTAATGTTAAGTACGGTATATTTTAGACATACTGGAGTAACGTTATCATTTATTTATTACATCCACGAGAAAGAAACAATAGTTCGTCGTTAAAAGCATCTTAAAAATAATAACAGTTATCAAAAATGTCACAAATATTTCACGGCGGAACATAAAATAGAAACATTTTGTCGAGACAACGTCGAAGGAATCTCAGGAAATCTCTCAAGCTATATAATGGTCCAAGATCTTTCCGAGGGCACGCTAAGTAGACAGACGACAAGTGGAAACTCGAGGAATCTGAGGAATCCTTAAAAAAAATAAATAAATAGTAGTAGTAGTAGTAGGGTACCGTAAAGGAAAAAAGAAATGAAAAATGGAGGGAGACTCTATATGTGTAAGTGAGTAAATGAACGAGATGACCAAAAAGAGAAGGAATGAAAAAAGAGAGAGAGAGAGAGAGAGAGTATAGAACAAGAAGAAGAGGCGCGAATAAAAGAGGAAGAGAGACCGCTCGTGGAAGTGGTATTATCTTCTTCACGCGGGCGTTTCTCGGTGCATCCGGTGTTATGTCTAAACGTTACAGCTGAAGCGTCTCTCTTCTCGCTTTTTCGCGTTGATCTGTTCGGCCGCGTCGCGCCGAACAGCGCGTGTGAACGGCAGTTTCAGCCGCGCGTTCGCGTTCGCCGCACGCTGCCTCGCGAGAAACGATGCGAGATGCGAATGCCGAAGGATAATCACGTTAAGATAGCGACGTACCTTATTCGAACAGGATCTCGCAATGCTGTAAAATTGATCGAACGGGAGTGTCCTTGATTATTTGCAGTGACAACACGATAATTTGATCGAGCGCACGGATGAGGAAGTGCACGAGCGATTCTTCGTTTAACTTCACTCGTGAAAGACAAAATGATCGGTGAATAAAGAGAGAATCGGACGAGCGAGATTGCAACTTTTTAATTAAGTGCAAATAAGTGATTTGATTAAGAACTGCTCGTTTTTTTACTGCGATACGTTAAATAGATTCTTTTTTATATGCAGATTTTCCGCAGATTAATGAAATAAGTGGATTTAAGAAGAGACATATACATACACGAAGATTCGACTGATAAAAGTGTTATAATTTATAAACACTGACGATCTCTTCATTTTAAAGAAATAAATAAATCTTGAAGAAATAAATAAACCTTGATTTTAAAAATTTAATAATTACGTGCAATTATAATTTGATCGACATTGTATAAACTTACTTAAAACAGTAACAGTGTAAATTCCTACACAGGCTGATTCACAAACAGAAGGGTAATAATTCAAGCTGTCATTAAATGGATAGCAACTATTTCCGTTCTTCCCGTGTGTTTAATAGCATTCATATGGACGCCAACTGTCCGAACTTGAATCAGCTGGCGTAAACGCAACTTAAGACAAAGGAAAGTCGAGATACAAGTCGAACGAAGAAGTGGAAACAAGTGCAAGCAAGTATTTATTTAATTGTGTCGTGAAACTTTCAAACCTTCATAAGACGGATTTAATCACTTAAAGGAACTGGTTTAAATACGATTTAAAATAATCTGAGAGCAGAAGGGAAAGTCTTTCCAAGAAGAGGTTCTTTCTGAAGAAGGGAAAAGAAAACCGACGATCGCACGTGTTAATCGGCGACACGTGAATTCTATTTTTACAGAAACTGAAATAAAATATACAGAGAAAAAAAAGAGACGCGAGTATAAAATAAAAATAGAGCCGCAGCTTTGAAATATATAGCTGCAAGGTGACGGAAGTGACGAATCGAGGAGTAGCAATTTGGAACGTAACGTAGAGCGATGTCCGGAGAAGGGATAATAATAAGGAGAGATCGTTTGCGTTGGATAAACGAGTAATTATATTTTACGTCACAATGTCCACGACAAAGTTAGTTTTGCTCGGTCTAGTGTTATCCTCGACAGGAGTGTCGTCGGAATCGCACCTGGCGAAATGTTGCCCGCCAGGAGAGATCTTCTCGGGCTATTCCACCGTAGAGTGCGTTTCAAAACCGAGAAACGTGATAGAGCTTTACGTTCACCAATGGAACACCACCGTGAAGCACCAAGGAATTCCTCAGTGCGACGAACCCGAAGATCTTGTGACAACGTCGTTCGGCGATCTCGATTCCAACAATTTCTTAGAGGTAAATTGAGTGATGATTGAATTAATCTTCTTTATCTATAACCGCGATGTCTTGGTACTTGACGAGATAGAAGACGTCTTCGATGAGGAAATAGAAAGAGAAGCGCTTTCTAATAGGATGATTTCTAATAAAAATGTATGACAGAAAACTCGATAAAGCAAAAGATACAATTTTTTCAGTAAAGTAACGCTTCATTTTGTTAAATTTTGTATTAATATTTTTTATTTTTACTTTTAAGATAAAAGACCACGATATTTTGACGCTTGACGAGGTAGAAGTCAAGTGTCTTCAATAAAAAGATAGAAAGAAAAATGTGTTTCTCTAATAAGAATATAAAATAAAAACTTATTATAACATACATAAAACAGAAAATACAATTTCTCTTTCAATAAAGTAATACTTCTCATTTGTCTTTAATTCTTCTTTGATCTCCTTCATTTTTATCGTTAAGATAAAAGACCGCGATATCTTGGTACTTAACGAGAAAATTGCCAGAGTCTTCAATAAAGGATCGAGTAAAAAGAAAAACACTACGTTTCTAGTAGAATGTATAACAAAAATTTATGATAGAGCAGAAAATACGGTCTTTTATAATTAAATAGTACTTTTTATCTAATTATGTAAATTAATTATGTAAATTGTACTAATTCCTTTTGTTTCGCTAATTCTTAATCTTTACCAACCACTCCCTCAAATATTAACCACTCCTTTAATTTGCGCGAGTATATTTGGGTGCGTCGCATTTTTTCTCAAAGCTGTAATAATGTAATGAAAATTATAACAGTAAATAAATATAAGTAGAAATACATTTACGTAAATTTTTATTTGTTTGAGAAAGTAGAAGAAATTTAAATAATAAAAAGATTTCGTGTTAAACGTTCAGTTTTCTTCAAAAATAGATAGGAAAATGATCAAAAGCTTCCTTGATTCACGTATCCAATTACATCGTTTAGAATTTAGAAAAAATAACATACTTCCACACTTTAGAGTTTCGCTCAATGGTATTTTTATGATAGCTATTTTCGCCGCGTGATACAATCGGAGTATACTGTCCCAATTATATAATTGATTATGTCAAGTGGCAAGTTGTACAGCGTCGTTAAAAAAAATAGCCCCTGTTTATCAGTTTGATAAACTTTTTGTAGGTGCCGGCTTGCCTCGAGATACTTCACGACCAAGTAAATGGAGAGAGCACCGTAATAGTCGTTCATTGTCGGTCGAACAAAGATCGACGGGTGAAAGCGATTAACGCATCCTTTCCGCAGCTCGCATACGTCAGAAAATGTTGCCCTCGCGATACGATATTCGACAGCCGCACGAAAGCATGCGTGTCTCGATTAAGTGAATCAGAGAGTCTCGTAGCGTTTTTGAGAAATGGGTCGGATGACGCAGATCTTGTGACGATAGCTACCGAAGGTCCGCCCACGTGCAAAGGGCCGATCGTTGACTATGAGATTGACGAAAACGATGTCTTCTTGCGGAACGGTACATATACGGTGAGCAAGGCAAAATTGAAACTTCTAAGATGATTTCTTACGGTTACACATCCTTACATCCATGAATTATTATTTCGAGTATCTAATTTAAATTTGTCAAACAAGTAAACAATGAATAATTATAAAATAAGCGAAACTAAGATTAATTTTTAATTTTTGTGATTATAAATATCTATTAAAGCATAATTCACTGGAAATTAATTAATTGTCTTCTTTTCATAGATTTGACAATAATTAATTATAAAATAATTTACAAAAGCAATACTTTAGTTACCTTCTGGACGGGGTGAATTAAAACAACGTCAGATGAATCGAATTACTCGACAGGTGATGGTTCCAACGTTCAAGAATAGCTTCGTCAAAGAGGAACTTTCGGTTACCGAGGATAACGCTTGCCTCGACATGACGCCGGATTCTGAATCGGATCGAACATTGGTAGCGCGTGTCTGCAGAGACCCGGAATTCTGTGATGGGAACGCCTGTATTAGAAAGTGCTGCGCCGAAAACGAGTTTTTTTACGCCCAGGGATGTAATAAACTCGCTGTACCCGGCGAACCGACCGAGTTTCACGTGGCCCTCGCAAATGCTGTTAGTCAAACGAAATCGTCCGCCTTCGACACGACCAGAGGTTCTTCTTAATGAGATATTTTAACGCTCCTTATTGCTTTCTAAGAAAAAACTTTAATCTTTTATTTAAAATCCATTGATAAATGAATAACAATTGCAACAAGTTGTCGACGGCAATCCTATATGCACGGAGAAACGGAGTTAATAAGTTTCCCCTTTAATTGCTTAGACTACGGAGTCTTGATTGGGAAGCCGTGTAAATATGGCATGTACCCCACGGATCCAAGAGAAGAAGAATGGTTGCTGACGTCAGAGGGACACGTTTTTGTCGAAGATTATGCGTTCTACGACCAGAACAACTATTGCATGGACATCTTTTACAACAAATCGGAATTCGATCACAACTTCCACTTATTCATATGTTTCGACAGTCCAGCACTAAAGGAGGTCTCAGTAAGGTACATTATTTCTATTTTTCTTAAATTGTAAAATATATTACTCGATAACTGTATAATAATTACATTCATGTATCTTTGCTAGCTTCTAATCAGCTTCACTTTTAACCATGTTATCTTGGTACTTTTAACCGAACAAAGATATCGCGTTGAATATTGCCGAAACGCTTTGTAATATCGCGAAAGTTTTTTCAGAAAAATACAAGTTTGTGTTTGAGTTTCTAGGAATTAAAGTAGCGAACGCGTTGCATTGGATTTCTATTGATGTACCCGTGCTAGAGCATCTCTGTATGCATTCAGGCTCTCATCTCTCCCACCGCAAATTCTGTCAAATTTGGCGAAACTCGGCAGGCTTGATTTGTTTAAACTTCGCGAAGTCAAACAAACGTGGCATACCGGCGCTCACCGCACAATAGACGATGCCCGATATTCGGGAGGGTTGTAAACAATGTAAAACATTTCGCCTGGTATAACGCGGCGCAAAGGGAAGCGTTTATCAATGTCTATGAAATTGATGAAAATAACGTCGGGACGGGGTCAATCTTACGAGCGTCGGATAAAAGTGTCGCGCATCGTGTACAACACCTTCTGCGAAATATGAAAGGTGAAATGCATTTCTCGCTGCGGCGCTGACAGGTTCCGGATGAACACCGCCCTGCAGATCACCAGCTGCGCCTTCCTGCTGATGACCCTGCTGGTGTACGTGTGCCTGCCGAGTCTGCAGAATCTTCACGGGAAAACGCTCATGTGCCACGTGAGCAGCCTCCTTCTGGCCTTCACCTGCTTGCCCATCATCACTTGGATCACGCCCGGTGACGAGACCGAGGAACGAAGTACGACGACGTGCAAAGCCTTAGGTTTGTTACGTATACGCGAACGTGCTTAGGAAATCTTCGTATACGAACGACGTTAAAAAAACGAAACAAAAAAACGTGTTTTTCCAGCTTACACCGCGCTTTTTTCTTTTCTATCGGCGTTTTCCTGGCTTAACGTCATGTGCTTCGACATATGGTGGACCTTTGGGTAAGTCATACGCGATCGGATCAAGTGAGACAGTCGAGGACATTGGGTAAATGCGGCGCAATAATTTTCCCGGGCAGAAAATCGATAGTCGTCTCTCTTTGATGATTACTCAATGAATTTGTCGATCCTTTTTGATAATCTTATGAGGTTTGCCATCGCGCAAAATAGCATTTTCTCATTCATCCGATGATTATCTCGACTTTATCTCAATTGTCTCAATTGACCTTCCATAGAATGTTTCACCGACATGTCTCGTGTCGTTCTCATTAACCCTCCGATCATTGTAAGCGTTCCTATACGCCTCTCCATGAATTCATTGTGTTCTACGTACATCGGCACGTAAAAGAAATATACACTGCCAAACATTAAACACTGAAATGACTCAACGCGTTTTATATAGCGCCGATACTAATATACATAACACGCGGGAAAGTTCAGTTTACGGGCAGTTTAAATCGAGGAATCTGTAACTTCCAGAAAAAGAAATTACTTTTTATTGAATATTTTTAATTCGCGGTTTTTTTAGCAGATTAACGTTGTAATATCGAGGAAGCCTCAACGAAGTACAAGTATCAACATAATATCTTGAGAAAATAAATCACATCGAGAACAAATCCCCGCGAATTTTTATTAAAGAAAGAAATAACTTCGGGACATATTGTGCCCTATCCAAGAGCGACCTGACGATTGCTCGATCGGAACTGGACGTATCTCGTCTGTCGTTTCTCGCCGGTTACGAACGTTTGTGTGTTCAAGGCGCTATTCTAGCTGGGCGGGATTTGTAAATATACGGAGAAAATAGATTCCCACACATCGCGTGGCGACGATGCTCATTGCCCGGCGCGGTATGTCTTAATGCTGGCTAACTTGGCGTTCTTTCAATCGGGAATTTCCACGAGTCCGCTCCTTACGTATTTTTTTTCACGACGTTCATTCCCCGCGGATCGAAAAGTAAATCATGTGATATTCATGCGGCATTCACGGAATTTTACAGCTGGCCCCCAAATTGACTTCCTCGAATTAAAAACAAATTTATCTTGATGAATCGGATTGTCTGTCTCGATTCTTTTTAACGTTTAAGTGTCACTCGCGTGTGTCTCATCGTCAATTTTAATTTTCCTCGTTCGTCTTTCGATTAATATTAAAAGCACACTTGGAATGGATATTGGAATTTTATAGATTAACATGTTCTCCGATGTACATCGCTGATCACGTCACTTTCAACAATATGCGTCGCAATTTGTCAATTCTCGATCTTAATAAATAAGGTAACGATAGTTTATCTTCTCCCGCAGAGTTTTGCGCGGCAGTACGTTTACGAAGGCCGCCGAGCATAGGAAAAGATTTCTGTTATATTGTTTATATGCGTGGGGCCTCTCCTTCCTGGTGTCAATCCTCGCCATCGTTGCCGACAGCACGGATATCCTGCCGGACTATCTGCAGCCCAATATTGGCAATAGTGGCTGTTGGTTTACACGTGAGTCACTTACAACCCGATAACTGTTGTCTGAGATGATGTAATGCAAATTTGTCAACGCTAATTACGGAATTCTTGGAAGGATTATCGACTTCTCGGATAATGAAAGACTTGGCGGAGCCGTTGGTTATTTCTCCGTGCCTCCTTGCTATTATAATTTATACATTGGAAATAGATGAAGTTGAGAATTGGTACAAGATGAATTGCAGTCAGAAAATTCATTTGGCATTCAAAGTTGACCGTATTGAGGAGAAGGCAAACGTAAAGTTTTCTTTCTATCGTCGTGCCGCAATTATCCGATAATTAAAAACTTTCTCGAGCAACCGTATTGATCGTGCTAGAGCAAATTCAAGCATCATTGCTCCTCGATATATAAAATGCAATTAAACTAACTGCCCGCGTAATAAGTATCATTTAATATCGTCAGTAATTGCCCTCGATAACGGTCAAATAAGAAAAATTCTCAACAAACAGTCTTTACGATTCAAAGTGAAAGTAAAGTCACTGGAGCCTAAGACTATTACTGAATTACATTTTTTAATTCAGTCTCTTATATCTGTACAATAAATCTGTACAATAAAGCGCGTAAAATTGGTTTTAAAAGTATTAATAAAACAAATTAATTAAATGATACAAATTCGGGGAAAAACAACACTTTCATTTTTACGTTACAATTTTCTGCGCGTATAGCGTGACATATTTTAAATATTTCAATTAAATGTTTTTTTTTTTTTTAATATTTGAATCAAATGTTACAGAAAGACGGAATTCGTACGGAGAATTAACTTTCTTCATTGGACCGGTGACGATTATGTTGATATCCAACGTGATATTTTTTATTCTCACGTCTACGCATTGTAATAAGGTGAAAGCGGAAATAAAAAGGGTAACTACGGACCCCATGGATCCCAGAAACAAGCGATTTCGTTCCGACAGGAGAAGGTGAGTGTTTACGCGTCAGCTCAGCAAAAACAAGGATTTTTTTTCGTTTTTCGATTTTCTTTTCGTTTTCAGAGATAATTTTAAACGAAAAAAGATACTTTGGCAATAAACTTGCGGTTGGCGCGCGTAAATTTCGAGCCAGCGCGTCATTTTGGAATTTTCGACGTCGATTTTATCGCCTTCGTTGGAGCGTCCTTCCTCGAAATCATTCAACCTACGCAAACACGTGAAAATCACTTTCTATTTAAAACTGAAACGAGAAATGCGATAATAAAATCGTGCGTATTCATGAGCGCGTTTAGTTTATGTATGGACTTCGGTTAAAGGAGTCGGTTAGTTAGCCGCGGCTATACTTTTTAAATACGATCAATATAGCTCGGTCCAGTTACATACTAACGATAAGAACTTCATCTCTACTAATTTCCAATGAATTTTTTTGTGTTTTTTTTTTGTATCAGCAAATTCAAGGAATTAGAAATATAGCTAGGATTTCTCTCAAACTTGATCACTGCTTTATCTGTATTCTTCATTAATATTTTTATGTTAAATTCTGTTTTACGAAAAAAAAAAAGGATTTTATCTATAACTTTCCGATAGATTTGTCATGAACGTCAAACTGTTCATCGTCATGGGGATGTCCTGGATTTGCGAGGTGGTATCGTTCTTCCTGATAAAATATGTAGACTACGAGCAGTGGCATCACGTGTTCTTCTACACGAGCGACGTCTTCAATTGCCTTCAAGGTCTGCTGATTTTCATTCTCTTCGTCTTGAAGAGTCGCGTGTATCAAGCGCTTCGCAGACGATTGGGATTGAATGCGAACCCAAAGAAACCGACGTGCAACGCGACCACGACTTTGCACGATCCTTATAGAGTCAGGAAAAGCGCGAGTAGCAGTACGTTAACGACTACGTTCGCAATTAATTCGACGCCATAAGGTAAAAATTGAGGCTATTTAGAATGAATAACTTATGTCTTTCTCTTTGCATATATTCTCGCGTGTTATTCGAGTCACGTCCAATTTGTGATTATCTTATACTCCTGTCAGCTAGAATAAATAAAAATCTTCCTGTCCTGTCCAATATTTTATTAAGTAAACTGTATTCAATAGTTAGCATATTTTATATAATAAAGTAATTAATAACGTAATAACGAGATACGTAATAACCTTTGCTCATCGTTATGAATTATATTTCAAACAAGATTAATTTGCTACTCTGGCATGATTTTATTATTCTCTTGATAACGGGTGGGTTGACAACTGACAGGAAGAATAATTGTATTTAATTGGACGATTTAGCGGCACGCAAATACGGATATGAATAGAGCTTGATGTAGAACGCACGATAGTATAAAGCTTCCTTTCATATTAGTCCGTATTTCGGTAGTGGACCTATTCATGATTATTGCCATTCTTGGCTCTCAGAAATATCTGCTAAGAAGTTCTGAAAATGATAAGGTTCTATATCGCCGAACTTTTACGAATGTTACATTTATCTTGCACCAATTACGCCAGAAAATGTCACTAAAGATACCAAAGGTTAGATTAACTTTAATCGCCACAAATTATGAATATCTTTGCATGTTACTACACGCGTATGACGCATAAGTTAGGCATGACTTTACGATAGGTAAAGTTGAAAAACGTATGTATATAAAGTGACTAAAGTGTTATTGTTTAAACATTGAATGGTTCCTGATGTACTTTTGCGCTTGTATATTTATGTTAAGAAAATACTTTGATACGAATGCAGGAGATTTGTTGATTTACATAATGCATTTTAAGAGATATTCTTCAGACCGAGCTGCTTTTATAAACTTAATAATAGACAAATCAAACAACATTATAAATTATTAAAACGTTAAATTTTTCTTCTCAGAAATTTTAAAACACGTTTCAATATCTTCTCGAGTGTGAATATTACAATAATGCATTTTATCTGCCGCACCTGCTGTTATGGCAATTAATTATTTTTCTCGATAACAATCGATAGGAATCAAATAAATATTAAAAACTCCACAGATAGCAAAATCTGCTTTTATTTTAAATGTATATTCAAATGAAGTTTAAAATGATTTCTTGCAACAACATATCAACAATATATATCTGTTTACACTATGTAGGATGCGTCGAGAATGTATCCAGGACGTATTCTTAGACGCGCGCTTCCGTCGAGAATAAACTCTCACACTACAAGACTTCAACTCGCTTTTCTCCTTTCACTGAAAAAACTTCTCAAAAAAGATTAATTGTAAGATATTACGTGGCATAACTTTGTAGCCGACGATTCTAATGCCAGACTCATGCGATTCACTTCTTTCCGACATAAACGCACGCTTAAAATCATAAAGTCCGTCATACGGCCAATACCTATAAATCAATCACTCATAGAGCTTCCAAAATCACTTAATATTGTATTAGCAAACCAGCGCACAATCGAGTCTCTCGTTGGTACATATTACAAAAATGTCTTCGTGTGTCACATGGTAACCTGTCGTTTAAACGAACGATTTGCTTCCGCAAGGAATAAACATAAATTACCCGTAAAAGTTAATGTTGAATAACAAGTGAATCAATAAAACTGCTACGTGTTATCGATAAAATTATTACTAGCACATAGATACCTCCCCCGTAGCACAGTCTCTCTTCTTGTTTAAAAACACCATCAGGGTCAATATCGGCAAGGAATTCATTAAAACAACATACGTAAGTGTAATAAAAGACATTCGCAGCGTCTTGCTAATAGATTCCGTGCTTAAAAATAGAGTGATCAAGAAAAGAAATTGATATTATTATAATTATGATTATGTATAATAAGATATACAATTATAATTATAATAAAAATAATTATAACAATTATAAATTCGTCAACAAGTTGCACGCGCGCGCGTGTAGTATAATAAGTTCCAAGATCACGGCATCCATGAAATTCTCAATTTATCGACTTACGGATTCCCAAATCCTATAAGAACATAAAATCCTTAAATAAACGCAATCCTTCAATTTTGCATTATTGTACGGATATGCAAGATGCAGCCAATCGTCGATCGTCCTCTCATTTCATACGAAAAATTGTTGCATGGGTTAGGATCATCGCTTAAAAGTTCGATCGCTTCTTCATTTAAAGTATAACGATATCGACGATTTAACGTTCAGGTTGAATAAAATCTCCTCTCCGCGCATAACTCAGGATAAAAGTTCCAGCTACGACATCGCTGAGATATCGCTATTATTACTTCATTTTCAACCATTAGCTATAGATATAAGTCAGCTAACATTAAATCAAGTTGATAATATCTCACCAGTGATCGGATAGACATTAAGCCTATGATCGTTAAGTCGTGTTTCGGATAGCTAAAATAAGGCACGTTTAGGCACTCTCAGGACGCCGAGGAATGAGGGCGGACTCCTACTAACTTGGCTCTGAATAGTCTGAATGCGAATTAAATGCGACTGTCAGGGCTTCCTCTCGTTCGCGGTCTCCTCGAGGTCCGGGTCCTCATTGATGATCGAGATGTCGCGCATCGACGGTCTGCGCGTCTTCCAAGCTTCCGGCGGGGTGACCGGCGCGGTGGTCTTCGTCAGCAGCTTCGGTCCTGAGAGCGAGATGATGATGGCACCCGCCGGCGCGGTCAGAAGTACCGAGAGCACGCACATCATCAGCACCGTCTCGGCGTACTCGACCTGCTGCTGATCGTTCTTGTCGACCTCGTCGAGGGTGACGGGCCCCAGGGCCGCCTGCACAGTCGCCTTAGCCATCCAGGATAGAGCGATGAACACCTTCTCCTTGAGATTGAGCTTGGAACCAATCCCGACCAGTACCGTCGCTCCGATACGGATGACGATACCGGCAACCAAACAGCCTAGTCCGAGGTAGACGGTTTTTCCTTCGAGCTCGTTGATCTTGATCTGCGTGCCGGTAACGCCGAACAAGATCGGCTCAAATATCATCCAGAAGATCTCGAAAGATGTGGCCACTGGATTCTGCAAAAAAAAAAAAAAAAAAAAAAAAAAGACACATGTACACGGCTACGATCACACGGGCTTAGTGGACGTACAAATTTTATTGCAAATTCACATTGATTGAATCTGAATTCCATTTGTTAGAATTTTCTATAAATAAGCCAATTATACTGTTTTATTTATTTTCTTTATATTTAAATTCCGGAAGAGTGATATTCAATGAATGAAATAAAAGGACAATAACAGCGGCAATTTAATTCGATTTGCCGAGATGCGCAACGATAGATGTTAAAACGCCGCGAATACAATGACATTTTCCACAAATTTTCCTCTAAAGGAGAGCCGATTCGGTATTCGGCGATGATATCTCGCATTGTCCATGCGCTCTCGATATCGGGATATGGAAATCTTCCAGCGTTGCATGGAAATGCAGAATATCCAGAGTTCACGTGGTGTGCAAGCTCGTATTTACCGCTATTGTTTACACGAGCCTGTGGTGCGTAGGAAATCTCGTCGATATTGATTTATTTAATTTAATTCCATGCAATTTCCGGATAATGCATGTGGTATGCCCCGCAGATACAAGAAAATTATAAGTAACACAAATGTTTTTTTACATAACTTTTCGTATACAGCGTTAAGTAAATAATATTAAAATTTAATTAGAGATAATATTTAATTAATTAATTAATTAATTATTAAATTTTGGGTTCTTAAAAAACAATTTAGTTTCCTATCAATAATTTTTACAGGTATACAGGTAACTCTCGCACTGTTTTTCCAATAGCACGGAACGTGACCCCCAAAATTGTACGAATCCTAATACAGTCTCGAATAACACGGTTTTCAATAACCAATTAATCGTGTTATTCGAAGATAATTACCTGTACCTGTACATGTAATTATGTTTAATCAAATCTAGCCGGATGAATCTTGAAAAAGGACGATGGAATGTAATTTATATTTAACCGTATACGTATCGGGAAAGAGAAGTGCTTTATCAGAATAAATTATTTCATTATTTGAGGCAAAAAGGCATTTTACTGTCACCGCCTTGTCGCGCGATTGTTCCGTAGTAATTAATCTAGCCGGGATAAATTATGCCGGCGTGCAACATACGACGTGCATATCATACGGCGGTAATATCGACAGATGCTGGTTACAGTCATGTCACGAAACGTGTGCGAAAGAACGTGTCGCCGCCGCCACCGCCACCGCCGACAGCGGGGAATGCGACGCGATGCGGAAATACGAACGAGCCAGTTGACTCCCAATCCGCACCCCGACGAATAGTGACGACGATACGTCGACCTGAATATTTCACGAGATTCGAGTTATTGGGCCAGGAAAGCGAAACTGCGCGACACCTCTCTTCCCCCCTTACACCCCTTTCTTCCGCCGAGAGATTAAATATTTAATATCCCTTGCACTTAGACGGGAATTGCGAAATTCAAAATATCCTCGAACGTCAACGTTATCCGTTATCTCGAATTATTTAATCATTTAACATTGCTTTTTATCCGTTAAATCGTCAAAGCCTGTCAGCGTTCACGAGAATAATTCAGAAATTCAATATGTGTTCTGTAAAAGTTGAAATTATTTTTTAATATATGTATGTACGCGTGGAATTCGCATGTGAATTTCTTTTCGATCACTTATTCATCGGATTAAACTCGTATAAATTTTATGACGTACACATTAAAAATGTATACTTACATCATCCACGTCCCAGCCTTCTTGCTGCCAAAAGTAACAGCTGACGAAAGCTGCAGCCACGACCGCAAGCGGCCCGGCACCGCCGAGCTCGATTGCCTCGCTGCCGAAAACCGCCAGCAGGCCACCCCCGAGTAACATCAGCACTCTTAGAGGCACCATGAAGGGCTACAACATTAGCACATAAACGAAGCGTTAGGACCTAATGGAAAGCGCTGCATCACGATTACGAAGTGATTTATTGATTTCATTACGAAAGATAAGTTTCGAAATATGGCCTCCTTCCTTTGACATATACACGCTTGATACATGTAAGAGTAAATGGTGTAGTTGGGCAACAACATCAAGTTGATATATAAGGTATATAAGCTTGTAATGCGCTCTGAATGTTCAAACAGCGATAAAAAGAAAAGAGCACGAACTTTTTTATAACTTACAAGAACTATTAAAATAAGTATAATGGAAGTCGCAAATTAAGAGAAATTAATTTTAAATATCTCGTAATACCCGAGGGATCCCATGCCAAGGGAGCGTTTGGCAAAGCGATGTAAACTTAGCAAACAAGTAAGATTTAACTAGCATTTGCGAACAAAGCGGCGGCTTTAAATGCATTCCTCTGAAAATACATCCTCTTGACCTAGTGCACGTTGTAACAGTTTAAGTTTATCCGAAACCGGATAAATCAGGTTACAGTGAGCTAAGAATGCTGCAACCACCGCCGCAGTGCAACGGCGCTAATCCTCACGTGAACGATACTTTAGATACGATGAGGTGGCGATGCAGTAACCAAGTACCCGACGACTTCTTCGTCGAATCCGCGCCAACATTTAGTTCATCGACGTTCCTAAAGCCTCCCGAGGTACCCGGGCAAATTGAATTGAATTTCAAATTTTTCGCGATCAATGGAGGAATCGCCGGATGATCGCTGATGACGATTCCCGTTCAAATAACGGATGTATATCGTCGGAAAATAAACGTATTGTTTCAAAAAATTCTGCTTTCAAAAAGATTAAAAGAGCGTTATTTTTATAGTCACGTCGTTATTTTCCAATCGAGAACCAATTCTAACTTTGGGCATCCTTCAATTATAACAACTTATCCAGGACGGCTCTATTTGCGCAAGGCAGTTACGCTAATTATAAACCTCTCGATTTTTACATTAAATATGAACGCGTATCTCTGAGTATAAACAGACGTTTCAAATAACTTTGAGATTTTAAAAAAGTAAATGGCGATTTCCACGCAATACGGGGAAAAGCAAAGACACTTGAGAAATAATATCCCGAAGAAGTGTTCTATTTTTATTAAAGAGAGAATTTAAGATCCTTCGGAACATTTCTAGTAATTTCCAACACGATTAAACTCGTTTGAAGCGCCGTCGAGCGAGAAAATGTAAACGTTTTTGCCGCCGAAAGATACTCGGCGGTTTGCGGATGCGGGAATCTCTGGTACACCGATCTCCGGTACACAATTCATAAAGTGTTTACAGGATTTTCACGGCCAGACGATAACCGCATAAGTGGATTTATCCGGCGATAGTAGATTTATTCGGATTTTCGCTCATGTGCTCGATCCCCGCGAGTGCTTTCGCGGTATGTAGCGAAATCTAGTGCGGGCGCGAGAGAGATTCATCGCGCGGCGCGGTGTGGGGTGAACGACTCCCCGCTGGTTGACCCTATTTCCGCCGCAACCCCTTTATTCTTATACCTCGCGCTGGAACAGTCAATTTGCGATCTCGCGGAATCAGGCGACCCATATGTACGTAACGATCATAAAGTAAAGTACGTTAATTTCACGGACGATTTCTACGGCATGACGAAGCGACTAAGAGGACGTTTCTGTTTTTTGAAATTTTGAAAAGATTTATCATTATCACTGTTATTTTTTAAAATAATATTTTTCGTATTTCTGGCACGCGTGCTTTAAGAATCGAACAGTGGGAAAATTTCGAGGGTAGCAGAAAATATACAGGCCGCTGTGTTACATATATTGCAAACTTTAACCCGCTTTTTCTCGAAGGCACGTTTTTCCGCACCGCGGCTGTCATAACTTGCGAACGGTGGCTATAAGGTTGCAATTTAAAGAGAACGTTCAAAACGCATCTGCGGCACGGCGCAGAGACTCCACGTCTCTTCGCGCCTCTCCGATGTCCGATACGCTCGAGAGTAAGTAATTTTTCTCTTTCTCTCTCCCTCATAAAAATTTTCGTTCGCGCGTCGCGCCCGCAGAAAACGTGGTTCGCAGAATCGTAATTCTCATTGCGTAATACTTACGTCGCCCTTTTCCGGCACGTATTTGGCCAACCAGCCCCACATGATGCCGAATCCCAGACCGCCGATAATCGCGATGGGCCCCTGAAGAATCTGGTACCACAACGCGTCGTGAGAAAACATGACGCTCTTCACGATACCGAAAACCGCCACGGACGCCGCATCGTCGATTCCAGCTACGGCGATGATCAGCGTCGGGATGCCCTGGAAAACATATCACCGCTCGTTAAGAAAATTGATGTTACGTCAAAATTTTGTTTACGTACCTATACGATCGAAATGGGACCGACGGCGCATGTCGCAAAAGATTCGTATTAGTGATAATCGTGCCTGCAAACGGGAGAACGACGGAATCGGATTCCGATACCGAGCGATATCAACGCGGAATATCATTTCATAACAGACTGCATTATGCACAACTGTGTACAGAAACAGCCACGAATAAACATTGACCATTTAGCGATTTATTAATAATGTGAATATATTTAGAATTCAGTGCGTTACGTTATATTATTCAGTCGTGGATTTCTACGTAACATTACATTTAACAGCGGGGAGACTTTCGTGAAACAGTTACGTTAAAAAAAAAGACAAACGAGAAAAGAAAGCATTTCAGACGACTAAAGTGTCCACTTTAAGACACGGGATTCGGTTTACATGCAGTTCGTTAATGAGAATTTTTTATCGCCACACTTGTGGAACGAACAGATTTCGAGCGACTTCAAAGTGATTAAGAAACGCCTGCACGAATGTACAGATAGACCAAAAAGAATCTTTTTCCGGAAGTAAGACGGGCGATAGAGCGATGCCGGAGGCTAACGAAAAAGAAAAGCTGCAAGGAGGAAAGAAAAATCAGCTCTTTCTAACTTGGTGTTCATTAGAACGAATAAAACTTTTCTGTTCTCTTATTTGTAATGACACAGTTTCGAAGACCGGTTCGGTACACCGTTGTTTCATTTTACGAACAACGATGTTTTGCGTCACGTTTGCGTTTTGCGACTTTCACAATAGAATAAATAATAAACGGAGGAAATAGAGAAAGAAATAATTAGATTCTATTTATTTATGATATTCTTCATTTATTCGTTTATTTTCAATGTTCTTCGTTTAATTACAACGCGAAAATTATTCGTTTACTAAATAAATATTATACAATGCCGTGCATTGTATAATTTCAGATGCGAGAGAGTATAAACACGGAAACCCACACATGTCCATTTATTCTGCGGAATAATCAACGGTATGGTTTAAATCTCGAAAGCGATCCATCCGAAAATCTCTTAAAAGAATGCCAGCGGGATTGTCAGTCGACCTAGAAAAATAATCCGCGAGGAGAAGATCAAGATATTTAAGGTCTTATGAAACAAAGACGCCGGGTTCTGAAAGAATCGAAGAGAAAGAGAGAACCGGACGGGGCTCTATTGAGAATGGTTGACGACACTCGAGCACGATTCTGGCGCGGGCCCGGGCAGTGTTATCGGTGTCACGATAGCTCGTTCAGGGATTTAAGTCCGCCGACTATCGCGATTCTCGGAGTTGGACTAGTTACACACGGGGGGAGAAAGAGAGAAAGAGGAGGAAGACATCTAATAGATCGCGGCACACGATCGCAAGCGCGAGATCAGCGGAGGAGGTCAGCGTTCGAGTTTCCCCCGTCGCCCCCTTCACCCCGCTCATCACGAACCCGTGCCCCCGTGGGTGCTTGCGGATATTCGTAGGATGCTCGTAAGCTTGCACAACCAACGATCGGTCAACGTCTCGTCGTGAGACTTTTCCGTCCGCGACGCGATAAGAATCCCCGATTTCGCGGCCGACGGGCATCAGGGGGGAAAGGGGCTCTGACCGCGGATTCCGCGTTTACGGCATCACGTCGGGACCGTCCCCCTCCGGCCGCCGCATTGCATTACGTGCCGCCAAATGAAGAAGTATCGTCCGGATCTTTCGGCTCATGAATATCGCATTCACCGCAATGGTCTTTGTACTCTTCAAGCGTCTTCCGCTCCATTTTCCAAACTGAATTATTTAAGTCCGGTACGTTTCCCTCCGACTCGTCTTTATTCTGCTGCGCGCAGACCCCGGCCCTTTCTTGTATCATCGAGTCGCCCTTTACGCTCTGCTGCGCGTCTCGAGCATTTTGCAAATTCGCGTGATTCTCTCCGTGCGGTCTCTTCCGACGCGCTCGTAATTAGATCGATCGAGAAGGAAAGTCACGTGCGATTGCGTGCAGCGGGATGACCACCGATCGGTTTAAATAATCTTGATTCGGCGATTCGCGAAGCGAGGCATGCGAAATATCGTGCCGTAGGCGGATTTGCGAAATCACTTTCGCAAGAACGATATTCAACCCCGGCTGAAACGTTTCACGGTTATCGTTATGCCGGCATATATAACGGAACGAAAGAAATTTAATTACTCTCGCGTTGCGTTCATTAACATGGAAACCCGTCTAATACGCTAATGTCGAGCGCGTCAAACATGGGCGGGCGTGTATGGGGGCTGCTACATAAATTCGCTTTGCTCGCGTATTCGATTAATATAAAACATGAACCGCGACGTAATCCAATTACTCGGGCAATTACGATTAAATATTAATTTAACGACTCGCGATACCATGGCACCGTCCCCCCGATCCATGTAAATATATAGAGAGTGATATTTACCTTTTTAAACGCTTCCAGAGCCCTGTTCCCTTCAATTTCCTCTCCGCATAAATTTTATAATCGCAGGCACCGATAGAATTATAATTGCATTTGCGAAACAGATGCGGTAGAAAAATATATTGCCGTATCGTAAGATTGGAGAAAAGAGAGAAAATAACGGCGCGTCGATAAACGTCTTTGGACGGTAGTAAATCTTAATTATTCTTAAGGGAAAATTATGTTAACTCCGCCATTTATCATCCGCTTATTCTAGATCTAGTATAAATCTATTTTACTACCTAATGTACGGGAGTCGGGCGAAATTAGTTCCAGAAGACTTATGATCGTTCTTACGAATGAAAGGCAAGAGAGATCTCGCGACGGGTGAATATTCAAATATTCCAACAAAGGGCCGAGAGAATAAGCGGCCTTACCTTGGCGACTCCGTAGCCCTTGCTACGTAGCCTGAACAGGCAGGGCACTACTACGGCTGGCGAGACAGCTGCTATGACGCTTCCGAGGAGAAAACCCCACACCCAGGGCAAATCCAAGAGGTATTTCGTCAACGTAGCGACCACCGTAGCTTCCACCACCCACGGTATCAAGCCCAGCTTCGGTACGGTGACTTTTAATCTTTTCAGAGCGGTTGGATCGAGATCCAGACCTGCTCTGGTAAGTATGATAACCAAGGCGATTTTTCTGCAAAGAAAAGAACGATAAAGAAAATATATAATTATAATAACTGTGTAATAATTATAATATTATATTAGTAATAATAAAATAATTAGTAATACAATAAAAATAAACATATAATAACCCGTTTCGACGCGTATTAGTATTGGCAGGCAGCTGAGGGCTCGATTACTGCGGAAAGAATATCTGCCAGAAAATGGAGGAAACTTTTCTCGAACAAAAAACCTCTTTTTCTTTGCGAAAGTAGTTAGAGGTAAAACGCGCTCTCTAAGCATAGTCTTGACCAACGCATATTTTCAAGTTCGATACAACGTTCGCGGAAAGAAGTTAACCAACTACTTTGCGAACGGGAGAAGGGAAGGGGGGAAAGGGAGAGAACCGGTCGACGTATCCCTTTCTGCAATTCGTATGTCTTCCGAGGCTTCGCATCCACAAATCTGGAACGCGCGACAAAAGTTGGCGCGGCGCGGAGCTTGCGATGAAAATTCAGGTACGGGGCGATCGTTGTAGCCTCGGTTGTCTCGAACTTTCAAAAACCTGTTTAGGAAAGGCACACCCTCGGAAACTTATCCTATTACGAGTTTCTCCCGGCGAGAGAAAGGTTTACGAAGTCGCTGCACGGGCGACCGGTGCATCTTGCGTGATGTCGCGTCGCGTCGCCTTCCGATCGCAGGGAAAAGCGTCGAATTTACATCGACATAACGTGTGGTACATCCCTTCTCGCTTTCTCTCTCACTCTCTCTCTCTCTCTCTCTCTCTCTCTCAAAACTTTATTTTATTAATATTATTAATTATTCCCAGCGTGTGTAATATTCCACATACAGGTATAATGTTCCTGCGCCATGAAAAACGGTTTTTCGCTGATCTTAATATCGCGCATGGATTTTGGATTTAACTATAATTATTTAAAGGCAAAATAAAATCACACGCGCAGGTGATTATCATCGTTATTATATGCATTGTGTTGTTATATTACACGCTAAAATGAAACGGCGTAGCCTTTCAGCCGCGTGTTTTAAGTTTCAAATGGATAAATTTTCTATTCACACGCGCCACAATACGGCAACGAAAGGTTTTTTTAATTATTAATTAAAGCACGATGGAGAAAAAGGTTGCTCTATGTTAATTTAATTACCTCCCCGGTAGCAGAAGGGTTAATTCCCGGCAGTTTATCAGTCGCTTTAGCCGCGTGGCAGGACTGCGAGTAATAAAAATATAATCAAGACAGGTATATATGAACATCGGTAGTAAACCGTGTACCACATATCGGTGAAATCGCGATAATTGGTAATACCGAATACATTTGCATAGCATTTCGTGAAGCGCGAAATGCCCGTCTCGATGTTTGCTTAATTGTCATGTAATATAACGTGACCACGCGACCATATGAAACATATGGACGATCCGTATGACTTCATGATTATGTAAACGAAAATGAATATTTGATTATATAGACATAATTCAGTACGGCGCGGATGCCCTCACTGGCGTTTCATTTAAATTGCAAAGCGCAGTTGTTTGGCACGTTGGATATCGAATTAACGTGCGGAAATTTCAATCTTCAGTCTTTCAAGCTTTCGGCGTATCGTTACATCCGATTTCCTGGGAGATTCCTCCTGACGAGGTTCCCCGTCACGCGGAACAATGATCGCCGTCGCGGTAATCGATGAACCTTTCCGCGTGCGTCGTCGATCAAATACTTGCGTATCATCGAAGAATTAATAAACTCTAAGTGACCATTAAGGAACGGAGACCTACCGTCGAGTCATGCGATTTCTACTCTGGTTTTCCTTGTAGATTAAAAGTAATCTTGCTTCGAAGACGGTAATCATTGTGCCGTAATAATTTACGATCGACGTCCGCGTCAGTAAACGAGCGGAGTTAACGGAATCGTCGCATCGCTGCATCATGTCGTGCCTCAGAAGGATTTTGCGAAGAGACAAAAGGCCAAGAAGAACAATAATATGATAAAACTTCCTTATGCATCAACAACTATATAACGATTTAAACATATAAAATTATCAAGTTTTATGATATTATAATAAATGCATTTGCTTATATCTTATGAATATAAAGTAAGTAAATTTCTTTTATTTAGAAAATTGTCCTCTCTAAAAAATTATTTTTTTTTAAAGAAAGTGTAAAAGTTAAAACCCTTTTTCTCTATGCGAGCACCACTGAGCGGAAAGCTGAATAGTCGTATCTGTAATTAACACCGTGTCGCTTCAACATCACAAGATCAAAAGAATTTTTTTTCAAAATATACCGTCAGGACACCTTCTAGCGAGTCGTGTAAATTGTGTCGCTCAGGACGCCGTAGGTACGCGTGTGTCGCGAGGATATTTACGGGAGATTCGCGCTCGTACGTCTTATCGACGTGGAAGCGTGAGTCTCTCCGGAACGAAAAAATACGCGAAGAAACGAACGACGCGGCTCGCATTGCTGAGATATCGCAACGGAAAGTTTTCTCGAACAAATGAAGGAAATGATTATGAGAAAAATTCTTTCACGATCGATATTGAGAAAAGTTGAAGTATAATACGTGAAGTAAATAACTAATATTTTTATTCTATAAAGTTTCTGACTACACTTCTGGCTACTTTGTCAATTTATAAGGGCATTCTTATTAAGGAATTTCCGTCGACCCACGCGATAACATTTTTAATGATTGGAAAATTGTATCGCAAAACGCATCGAATACGTAACAGCTTACGCGCTGTCCTGCTTCGCAGCTATTGCATTTCGGCCGTTTCGTAATGTCTGACAGTAAATTGCACATGTCAATAAACGCCCGACCGCGGTTTGATCACTTTATTAGTCTTGCAGTCGATGTGGACCGCGGCTTCTGGGGGGTTGTTTACGCGGGCATACAGAGGGTAGATTCGCCTAAGCGAACGCGCACGCAAATCGCTTACAACGCGCGGCCTATGTTTGCTTGTATTTAGCTGCATTTAACTTAGGCGTACGTGACTCCTCCTAACGATGCGTGTAAACGCCCGCTAAAGCTGGGGCTATACATTTAATCCCCGCGTTTGACAGAGTCCTATCGACAGCCCCGTCAAAAACGTAACCATTCTCCATCAGTTCAACATGTTCGACATCCAATCTGCTTAATGCGAAAATTCAACGGACCATTTTCAAGATTAAGACGACTTTTAGAAGTCTCCACAACGTCACCTCGGTAGAGTCGGCTTAATCTTCGTGTAACCTTGGCATTATCTTCCAACTACAATGAATAATGAATCGAAAAGTTGGAGCAGTGACACGCGAAGTCACGTGGAATAAATGTGACAGGCGAGCCATTGAAGAAATCGTCGAACCGGTATTATAACTGACATCGCGACATCGTTTCCTCAAAACTGTACAATCTTTCATGGTGCCTTTAAGTGCTGTTTTTCGTGCCATAATACTGACAGTTGCTGATCATCTTTATTTTTAATCGTTGTTGAACAAATTCGTAAGTTACACGATTTTATATGGCCACGACTCCTCATTCTTTTGAGTAGTTCTTTTGTGTAATCCGCCTTCGACGGGATCTCGTTTCACACGCTACTGAAAATTGCATATCCGTGCAATGCGAACTCCTTATCTTGCGATACTTATCAATAAATCTGAGTGTGTATATCGATAATAAAATGGATCAGCAGATTACGGAGATATCTTCGCAACCTCAGGAAAGAAAAGGCCATATTACGAAATGTCTAATGTACATTGCGTAATGTACATATACATATATATATAATATTATGTGCTCGAGGTGAATGATTTCTTCGTAAATACTTGAAGAGATAAATTCTGAAAAAAAAAAAGGATACGCCGTTACTTATATTACTTGATATACTATTACGAGCGTTATTTATATTATTTTTACTCCATAGATAAACAATCAGACAGTTCACTTACATATTTCTCTCAGTGCGGTTTCTCAATAATTAACGTTCAAAGAAATGTATTCGTTAATAAAACATGTGTTTAACGTGATTTATGACAAAAACTTTCATTATAAAAACTATGTAAAGCAATTTATTAATCTTTAAAAAATTCAACTAGATGTCATTTTGAATTTTATCAGAATTTACAAAAAGGATTCGCAACGACTGCTATAAATCAATTGTAAAAAAGATATATTATTACACGCAGGCTGAAAAATGCGTTATTCGTTTGTTCAAAGTACCAAATATCATTATGGATCTTTTGACCGTTAATCTTATATCGTTTGTAATTTTCATGTATATTAATTTTGTTTACACGCTGAAGATGACAGAAAGAAAGTGTCGAAACGTCCGAATATGTATTGACTAATATATTTTATCTTATTGACTATACATTGATTGCGCAATAATTACCGCGCGTGGTTCCGATTGCCTCTCTCACTATTCCCTATTTGTAAAAAAGAATTTTTTTTAACAAAAGGGTAATATTTCGCCGATAATAAATAAAGCTGTCAACCGCGACGTGTCGATTAATTTCCTAGCAAGGTCAGGCATAACGTTTTCTATGGTGACCCATGGCTCGCCAGTATTAACGATTCTAGCTACGTGTCTCTGTCATTAGTAGGCTATTCGAGTCATAAGGCGAATTTGACCAATCGAAAGGATGATGATCGAACAAATTCAGACCAACAGTTGTGAAAAATTATTTCGAAACGGAAGAAATTGAAATCTTGGTGTCAATCGACGATAACTGACGTAATAATGATAATTGCAGGCATTTTATATTAATGGAATCGTTTGTTGGAACGTCCTTTGACTGCTCGTTACCGCACTGGGAAATTTTACAGGTCGTTTCTTAGTAATGGATAGTTCAAACTCAACATATATCCTTCTTTGAACATTAATTCGAAATACATCTTCATGGTAACTTAGTTATCGTAAGATGGAAATTTAACGGAATCTAATATGTCACTTGCAAACTAATACAAAATCACTCAAACGTGCGCGGATTAAGAAGTTATGTTTAATCCCATGGAAAACTAGTTCTAAAGATTTTACCGAAGGAGAGACGAAGTCGACGGGTTTCGTCAACTTCGGTAATGACATCGTGATGACATCGATCAGTGCGGCAAAGTGGGTCAAGTACACGCGCCGGGAAGTTAAAGGTTTCATAAGTATTTACATACTTTTCATACCTAAATGCACGTTGGAATTCTAATTTTATATTAACATAAACGAATTGTGTGCTGGAGCTAGAGTAGTTTATCATTTTACTTTGGTTGTCGGAGAACGCTAGGATCAAAGGCTCACGCACACAGCCTGCGTGTGATTACGGATAAACACGTTCTCCTATCATAAAATATGGGGAAACCTTGAAGAGCCATTGCACGCGTGCGAGGAGAAAAGGCAGCTGATTGCGGGAAACTCGACGGATCTTATCCGATCCTTTTGTCAGCGGCATTCGTTAGCGAGGATGCAGCTTGAATTTGATTGCCGCTAAAGCCGCACTTGTTATGCCGTGCATAGAGCCGTTGTCGTGCGTGTCCGCGGCGATTCACCATCGTTAGACCTCGACCTTAAAAAGCGGCCACCTTGCGATCGCGACAAGTTGATCGCTACTCTCGGAGACTTTCGAGGGACCTTCGGGTAATCGTCGTCATTGTCGTCGCCGCCACCGCCGTCGTCGTCGTTGTCGTCGTCGTCAATAATGACACGTTTTTCCAATAATGACACGTGAGTAGAGATAACGACTGTTCGCAATGAAAAAGCGATTTAACCGGTTCAGCCTCGAGTTTACGTAAGAAATTGGTCCATCAAGGGTTCTCTATGCTTTTCTATGTTTCTATCCTCCGTTTGCCAAATAAAATCCGACGCCCGATTTAAAGTGGCAGTTGATTTTACCCAAAATGATGTAGAATATAATTGTTAGTAAACTTTTCTATATTTCAATAAAACGGGAGTTTTTAAAAACTTTTATTCCCTATTACTTTATATCTCACATGACAGGGGATAAAACTTTCACGCAACCAAATTTCGTTTATTCAGCAGATCAAATTATTTTATTTATCGAAAGAATTATATTACTATTTCACTTTTCCGAAAATATCACTTTTCGGATAATCGTCATGTTTTATTTTTAAAATTTCCACTTTTTACCTTTCGAGTCTGGAATTCATAAATTACATTATTATCTAATTTGATCGAGGTGACCTCTTCCATTTCAATTAAATAGATTTTTGAATGATTTTTTTACAACAAAAATAGTTATTTATTTAATTAAATTTATAAATCAAATTAATTAACTTCTTTAATTAATTAGAGAAAAATAAATTTTGCAAATGTAATAAAATAATGTATAATAAAAATCAAATTTTCAAATATATTTAGTGCACGCAGTTAATTAGTAATTTCATAAATTAATATTCCCTCGCAATTATCCCATTATTAAAATACTTTTATATCAATTTTTAAATTAAATTGAAAAAATCGTCGCTGACACCTGACAATTTTTGCTGACATTTGACAATTTTTGCTGACACTTCGGAAACTTTTTTCGTTTCAACTAGAAATAAGATATTCGATAAGAACCTCACATCGAGGATATTCTTTGAACACGAAAGCAGACTCACCGTAGATTGGAGACTACCACGGTGTACTGTCCTTCGATCTTGACGAGTCCGACATTTTGCAATATTAGACCGGTGATCAGCATACCAATCAAGGCCGGAAGAGTGGTCAAAGAGATCAGCCAACCCCCGAAATGCGCGGCGATGCACAGAGCGGCCAATCCAAACAGCTGGCCACCCGGGGCGGCGTCATTGCCGATCACCGAATAGACGACACCCCAGAGCAGCAGACCCAAAAGAAAGAGGCACAGAACCCGAGCGAATTTCCTGTACGTTGGACAGAACGGTTGTGGACACGCTCTTCTCCATCCTGGCGGCTCCCACGACGGTGTGTCGTCGCGACCATGACATCGGGCGCAAAATAGATATAGCCACGATCTGGAAGAGACGTAAATCAGATGAAGAGCGCGGTAGGACATTGAAATGCGACAGAACCTTGAAGCCAATAATATTTTTTTCGTTTTTTCCTCGAGACGCTTCCTAATTTCTGTAATTCGAGGATCGAACGTAGCCGGCCATAGGCCGGTTAATTTTCTGTTTCAAAGGAATTAATGCGTGGGCAAACATATTCAGTAGTTTCTCTTAACTAACAAAAATAACTATCTGTAGGTAGCGGGATTACCTAATGAAAATTAATCATGTGGAATGTGCGCGATAGAGATAGAGATCGCGTATCGCGCACGCCGCACACGTGAATGCGCTCGTCTATTTCTTGATAAAAATAAAGATAAGAGTAAGTTCAAAACAAATAAAGTAAATAATAAAAAAAAAAGTGCGTTATTGTGAGCTTTTAATCCAATTTATACTACACGCTATGCTATTTTCAGTATAACGAATCTTTTATGTGAAATTGTATTTTTTAATGTCAGTTTCAATAGTATTTTAAATTTTGTAATTTTGCATTTAAAATGCTTATATTATATGCTTATATTACATTTTATACAATACACGCATTTTGCAGTTTTTATAGAGAATAGAATTAATTGCTTCTACAATTTAAAACTACACATATATGTAAATTTAATTTATAATACTAATTTAACGCAACAATACATAAAATAATATATTTATTATGACGAAAAAATATCAAGTAAGACTAAAAATATCTTAATTTTTAATTATATAAATATAGAATATCTAGCATTTTGTGAATGTTAATAAAATTTGTTGAATAAAAATCACGTTTTAGAGCTATCTCCATTTAACGTATCATTGTATTATTCGCTAAGACCAAGTTTGCTCGAATTAATGCCTTCAAGTACGAGTGTCAATAGCTTCAATCTATTCAGTATTTACTGGCTTATCCGCGGAGATAATTTCTAACTGTAAAACTAGCTTAGATTTAGTGTGATAATGTGATAACTAACGATAATTGTTGTTATATCTGTCTACATGCCTTTGTTGAGCAACGTGATGGTTAATTTGGTATACAACTTTACACGGTAGTAGTTTATTAGATTGCATTATGCTGTGTGTGCAATAATAATTTCGTTAACAAATTCATTATATGTAGAATAGAGAGCGTGTTTATAATTTATGTTACACTCATTCATAAGTCATAAAGAATTAATAATTCATTCAAACTAATCAATAATGTATTGGTCGCACATTTCGAAGAAAATACTGATAGTATATTCGTACTCTATTATTTTGCTTATTATGTGCGAATAACTCTGTAATTGAGCTTCCAATTAATTTCTTGCTACCAGATAAATTCGATGTAATGTAAAGTTTACGAGAAAAGATCACTGAAAAAGAAATACGATAATTCTGAAACACATATTGTATATCGTTTTATAGCAAATCGAAGAGTATCTTATAAATATTAATATGGGTATACATTTTAATTTTTTCTTATTACGCAATTTAATTAAATTTTTAAAATATTCTCTTGTAAAAGGATGACTTGCGACTGACAGATTTTTTAATATAAAGATTGCATTATTCGAATAATAAAAACAAAAATCTGTCTGTATAAGGTTAGATACGTCATTGTCCGTTTTTATATTAGAAAATCTGTTTATCGCAAGTTGTTTTTGCGAAAAAATATCTTGTCCGAAAAATTTATGTAAAATCAATCGTATCTATACAACTTGTTCAAAATCGTTCAAAGTGATTACGGTCTCAGGAAGCAGACGTGAGAGAAGAGTTTTAACTTTTTACGCGTAGACAGCCGCTATTAAGAAAATAAAAATGATAGCCATAAAATAAAATAATTGATGTTGATTGTCGCTTTAGTAATGCAAACAGTTTTACCGGCCTCGTTGATTTGAGATACCTATACAAATCAAGTATAATGAATGAATCAACACATTTCTTTTAAGCTCTGAATTGCGTGACACAAAGACCGGCGAAGGGAAAACCACGACGATGACTAGAAACCTATTTGATTAATGTTCAAAATGATTAAAAATATAAAAGTTATAAAAAATGTCAATAAATATATTTCTGATGATAACTGATATTTACAAAAAATGCCGACATTAATTAATTTTGGAGAGAAAACAAACAGGACGATAAATAAAGTTTGGAAAGTTTATTTTATCGATCTTTTGGAACAGTTTCTATAATCAATAAAATGCTTTCGCGTCGAATAAAATGTGTCTTATTCTTGCAAGAACGTAAAAATATCGTCGCACCTAGTTTGCGACGATATGATAAAAATAAAGTATATAATAATTATTGTCATCCATTATCGAGAAGATTATTTGCCTTTGTCGCAACGTGACTCGTTATCAATGACCGTGTAAGTAAAATATTTTTGAACGATATTTTAAACATACGTTCGTACTGTTTGCATTGTTGTTTCGTCGAACGATTACGGATTGTCACTTCGATATCGATCGAAAACCGTCTTCCCGATCTAGATCGAGAAAAATGATTCAGACGCGCAGCTTTATCACAGCTCGGGAGTATCAGCAAACAGGCTTTGCGGAGTTTACCGAGATAATCGGGTCTCACCTCTCGAGCTCCTCGGAATACTCGATTTTGTCTCTGATCGAGCTGGACAGGCTGTACGCCGATTTCTTTCTGTTACCGTTGATCCTGCCGTTCTCCAGATCGAACTTGTACTGCGGAATGTTCTCCGCGCTGCCGCCATGATGCAGGATCGACTTCCGCCTGCCCTGATCAGAATTGTGCTCCGAACTCGCGCTGATGCGCCGGTTATGCTCGAAGGCGGGATTATCGATTCCCATCACCTGATCGCTGATCGACACGCGTCTCTTCGCCAACTCCTCGCTGGGCTTATTCGTTCTGCTGCTGCCCATCTCGATATCCATTTTCCACCGACGGATTTATCGATCGCTAAAGATTCTCGGACGGGACGTTAGCGGATAAAATCCAGCCTCCTCTCCTTTATCTATATTCTTTATATCCTCTACTTTAATCCTCTCAGATGCGAGATGCAGACCGCGCGCGCAAATGCAGATCGAGTGATCGATCGGTCTCTCACTTGCCCGACCGGGTGACGACGAATCTCTCGTTGAGTTCTCGCCGAAACTGATCGCACCGACCGCGGGGCACACCTGTCGATACCTGTCGATTCACTCGCGCTATTGATCGCGATCGGGAAAGGCCGTAGCCGCGCGCGGTGTCGCTAAACGTACTGCGACGATCCCGGATCACGCGTTCGCCACGTTAACGGGGCGATCGTTAGCGGGTTGTCTCGTGACGAGACACCGCGCCGCGCGACGGGGACGGGAACGGGGACGGCGATCGGCGGACGACGAACGCTAATGCGTTGCGACGATTGACGTCTTTGACACCTTGGCCCGCTTTTACCGGACTGTACCTTCTTCGCGAGCGTGTGCTCTCCCCGGATCCGTTTTTGCGCTCAAGTCGGAGCTTTGTCTTCTTCGTTAGCGTTAGCGTTAGCACGCGCCACTCTCGGGATCGGCCGCCGTTCGTTCACGAAACCAAACTTTTCCACTGGCTCCTTTGCCATGCATCTAACCGACCGGATCGGTTTCACGATCGTTTGCGTCGATGCGGAAACGCGACCAACGGTCGCGCTCGACGCGATTGGCGCGACCGGTGCATCTCGTTTGCGTTTTATCTTTTATCGTAATTTAAGCTTTCGCGATAACGAAGTCCCCTTCGGCTGGACGGAGACGAGCGACCGGTATAGGTCGTTGCGATGGAACGTGAGCGCGACGGCACGGTTAACCAGCGACTAAAAGCGGCAATGTACGCGGCAAGCGGTGGTGTTTATGGCGGATGGTAGTGGGGCTCGTAAAAAGTGTTCGAATCGCGGACGAACGAGCACGGGCAGTCACGGGCAGCCCGTGACGATAATTGTCGCGCGATGCACACAGGATGGGCACAGCTGGCCACCTCATTGACGAACCGGCAACGGTCCGCTGCGCTTCTGATAGCAGCTCGCGCTGCCGCCGGAGATCGACAGCTCAGAATTTCCGCCGCGCGGTGCGCGGTACTGTCGCGATCGAAAACACGAAGGATAAACTCGCCGGAAAGTTTCGAGCTCCCGAGGTATTAACAGTGAATTATTATTCGACGAGTATTAGTTGGCGTACTAATTTTCATTTTCCGATATTCCCCGTTTAAACGGATCCGTCGACAACTTTGGCGGCAAACGTTTTCCCCCCTGCGTTTTAAAGGAGAGTAAGCTTGGCACAAGCGAACGCAGCGTAGAGGAGGAGAGGGAAAAATTGTTTTAAATTATCACGGGTGTTACTAATAATTTAATATCGCCATTATGTATCACACGAGTTATGTATCATATAAGCATCGCTGTCCAATGTAGCACGGGTATTACGGAATCGGAGTGAAATTTTTGATCCCGGGTTTATCCCTCGTCAGGACGCGTGACAGTTCGGAACGATCCCTCATGACAATTTTAATAACGGTCGCTTATTTTGGCTGTTTCTCCGATTTGGAGATCCGGAGCGCGGATGAGGAACGAGACGAAAAAACGTGGACGTCGCGCGTCGGCTCGCTCCGAGCGTTTACCTAAATCATGATGATGCACACGCACGTATACACGTGCGAGATAACACGCTGCGTCGGATCGTCGCCTATTTCGAAAGCGTCATCTCATCCGACGTTATACGTAGCGCGCAATCTCGGCCCACGTAGCCAGCGTAGCCTCAGCGCGTGCGATCCCCGATCTGTGATGAGACACGAGTACGGAATTAACGGTTTCAATTGAAGCTCGCATCCTTCATCGATCTCCTTGATTTTCCGCGAGCGATATCCCTCTCGATTTAATTTGAAGAGAGAATGGAAACGGACGGCGACACGCGCTCTCCTTTGATCACCTCGTGATCACTTGCAAAACGGTCCAGCCCGGAGGTATGCGCGTTACTACGTTCGTCCGATCGACACGGTTACTACGCGATTACTACGGTCCCTCTATCGATCGCCGTCGCTCTTTCTCACCGATCTACATACCGTCATCTATTGATTGACCTGCGAGCGCGCACATATACACATACACAATCTCCCTCTTCCTCTGTCTCGCTCTTTCTTGTCAATATTATTGTCACGCTTCGTTGTCGCTTGTTTAGTTGTACGATTGTACGTAACTCCATTTAGAACTCCATCCATCGGGATTCAATTTATGGACGTCTCCAATTCGAACCGATAAAATGAACTTCCGGACGTAGTTATGCGAAACTTTTACAACTCGGAGAAATGCAAAAGACCGAAATAACGAAACCCCCAGGAATCTCCGTGTCTCGTAAAACGAAAGTTTTCGTTTTATTTTTATGGTTATTAGCATAATGCAACGTATCATGATTTAATTAATTGTGCAAACGACAAGTATTTCAGTAATCTGCTCCGAAAGAGGCAAACGCCATTATTCCGCTTCACTTTTAATCGTTAAGCGCTCTGCAAATTTATGAAGTTTAATTTTACATTAAAAACTAGCGAATTGAATCAGCGAAAGTCGGGTGAAATAGAATTGAACTCTTAAAGCGCGGGAAATTGCAAATTTCTATTTTAATTTATTTCTCCTCTGGTAGACGGGCAAATACAGAAGGAAGGAGGAGTCCGCGCGTAGATCGAGAAGGAAATGAAATATGCTGAAGAGATGGTTGGCTGTGGAATACGCGTGCAGAAAACAGGAAGAATTTATAGCGGCTCCCCGCGTGCTTGTATTTATCGACGAAGTTCCGTCGTTAACAAGACATCACAATCAAGTTTAATGATGAAAAAGGAATAAACAGACGGGGGGGGGGGGCATAAAATCGTTTAAGGACGAAAATTCGCGGATCCACGAAACTTTCAGAAATAAAAAAAAAAGAAATAGATATAAATCGCGATAATGACGAATCTAAAACTTGGGGAAGATTTTATGCTCTATATATTTTTTATACAGAGATATTATTTCTTATGCCGTTGTTACGTAATATAATGTTTTATGCAAAATATTATATATTTTATGTTTTTATATTACATATTACATCTTTCTGCATCACGCTCTTGAAAAATGTGTGCGAGAAAGGAGATGAAATAATATCCACATGTGCTGACTTGTCTGTCGAAAAAAATATATCTTTTATTTTATATAAATGAGCAAAATAATCTTACCTTCCTCCAAGATCCGTTGACGCGTCATGAAACAAATTTCTACTAATGATGAAATCGTACGCTTCTCGGGCACACTTGCGGAAGTCGAGCATTGTCGTCCCTCGTTAACGCAGCGTTCTTATACGGCTCCATGCGTCGTGTGTAGATAATGCTCTTGTCTCGTAATCTGCAATACTATTTAACCGATTAAATGTGAATAGGTTTATACTTGGACTTTCGAAGGATTCTCGCGAGGAAATCCCGTAAGTAAAATTATATTAGCCTTAGCAACTGCAAAAAGTTCTAAGATATTTATAAAATATACTAAGATTATACATATATGAAATGTATCAAATAATATATTAATATAAAATATAAAATATATATTAATATTAAAAAATTAAATATATTAATGTTAAATATATTAAAAATGTGCCATATAATTTACTTTTTAAGTAATACTAGAAAATATACCATTTCCAAACCACTTTACAAACGTTTGAACAATCAATTGTGCATATATGTACTTTTTTTCGAATTAATAACGCATTTTTTTGTGCCATTTGTCGGCGGTGCAGCCAATTAAATTGAAGAGATATTCAATGTTTCAATTACACTACGCAAACTATGAGAATTTCGGGAACGGGAAATTAAAAGCGCTCGTGCCTCGCATAACTTTTTCATATGGCCGCCGCGCCGGTGCCGCGCGCGGGGAGAAAATCGCGAAAAATCCGCGATGTGTTTCGTCCAGCGCGTCCGTGTATATCGCGCGATCCGGTGTCGTTTTCGCGTCCGTCCGCCGTCGGACATTCCGCGGCCGGCGAAGTCACGCGAGAAACGTCTACGTCCCTCGGAGAAGCGTGCAGGAGGTAGGAGGGATGGAGGTGGAGGTTGCGCGAGAGACGAGGTCGAAGATGGGATTGGAATTGCAAATATCCCTCTTCTCCGTCTCTCCGGTCTCACCGGTCTCACCGATCTATCTCTCCGCTCCTCCATCGACCGACTGCCCGCCCGCTCGCTCGCTCTGACCCCGGAACGTGTGCGAGGTGCATATCGCCGAGCATGTTTTAAAGAATCTTCGCCGGACGACAAATCGCCAGATTTCGCCGGATTTGAATTTGTTACGGCCCTAAACTGCGTCATTCTCAACAGGATATTTTTTTAAGACGGATGATGCTTTAACACACATAAGATGTTTACTTATACTGCTGTTCTAATAATTTTAGCACTTCTTTAAGAAGTTCCAAAGCCGCTTATATCGTCAGAGTGTCTGAGTTCACATAGCTGTACTACACAGAAAATCCGGCTTTATTTCTCCCCTGCAAATGTTAAAATTCAGATTTGTTCATTTACGTTACGTCCGCTTGAATTTTGCTCTCTTAGTTCTTTTTGCTGACCTCTTGTTTCGTGAAAAAGATGAACAAAGTAACGACAAGGCACGGACGAAATGTGAGGACGCGACGAAGACGAGTTGCGCGCGGAAAATGACCGCGCGGTGCGCGCTGCGTCAAATTAGCTTAAAAGCTCCGGGCCAACACGGAGGGATACTACAACAACGTATTCTGCGACATGGCCCGGCACACAATGTCCAACGCGCGCGCGGAGAGAAGCCCTATTCGCCCTCATATATCACCCGGAGATAAAAGGCTGCCAGACGACGACGGAAAGTATAGTGGTTTCGGCGACACGCCGGATAGGCGGTTCATTGCGCAGCTGCACCCTGTGCCCCGTAATAATTCGGCGGCAGAAACGAAGAGAAATTGTACGTCACGTCGCTATCTATTTACTCTCTTCCGCTAAACAATGAAAATATGTACTTCGAGATGCTTCCGTTCCGATTGCCCTTTCGCGGAGCGGCAACTCTCGCCGTAATATCGCGAGCGAGGATGTTTTACAATTGTTACGCGTCACGTGCGTGTGCAAAACTAGGTCTTTTTCTTGCGACATTTATACCTTTACTTCTGATGAGTGTGACAAAACATCTCTTTTTGTCACAAACTGTTATTTCTTCGGCACGAGAGGAGATAAATGGAAAATCGTTACACTTCCAATATCGGCTACTCCAACTCATAAAAAAGAGACGATTTATTTTGACTTTATATATAGAACAACGGCGAGAGGAGAGGAAGGAGAAGAGAAGCAGAGGGAGATTATGCAGCATCCTCCTTTTTCCGATACATCAAAATATATTTTTATACAATCCCAACCCATCTTTCTTACATCGCGGGGAGTTTTTTTATCCGAGAACCACCGCGCGCTGATTATCGCTCGTCCCACTTTCGATCCTCGGGCAGCTTTTTACCGTTCCCGGCAACGCCGATATGACGGTCAAATGTCGCAGTTTTTGCAGTGATTCGGATAATATTGGCAACCTGTAAGAGCGAACGAAAAACCCTCTTCTGTTCCCCATTTTGAATGGACTCGTACATCAATACAGTAGTTCCGTTTTCTTGCCGGAGTTCGGAGTATACCTCTATCACTACCGACGTTAAACATCTTTCGCGAAAGCGTCTTTCAGTGTGCAATAAAGCCCCGAGCGAATCCCGCTATCCCGCAGCGGAATTGCGGATGCATGTCCGAGATGGAAATTGTCATAACTGAAATGGAAAT